TTTTTGCAATTACCAGTAAATAGGTGTGTGTGCAATACAGTGATCCAACCCATACCTTATCATTATTTTAAATAAACCGGGAGTGATCTCCCCTAAACTTTCTCGAATATTTTTATATAAAATAACAGGGGATGGGAACTCGGGCTATAGACATGATTTTTACAAGCTTTTATTTAACTCACTTCCTCGTCAGTCGTCAGTCTAGACCAGGGGTCGGCAAACTTTTGAAGCGGAAGAGCCAAAAGTTACAATTTACAAAATTTCCCTGGTTTTAAAGAGCCACTAACATTTTTTTATTGCAAGTATTTTAGTTTTTTATTAAGATTATTAGTATTTGTGCAAGGAGCTGGAGAGCCGCATCTTGATATCAAAAGAGCCGCATGCGGCTCGCGAGCCGCAGGTTGCCGACCCCTGGTCTAGACGGAAACGCAGGAGTGAAAATTCGGACAGTTCTACTTGACCGATACGATTCACAGTTGGCACGTGGGTCAAGACATGAAGACAATGCAATCTGAATCTAAATTTGACTTAATTGGATGCCTAATTAATTTTTTATGAATTAATTAAAATTTGGACCGAATTAGTAGGCATGTCTAGCCAACCACACCACACGCGTCATCACCTTCAATAGCTGCGCCATCACGTAATGGCTGCGTTCAAAAACCATTGCGCGCCTACTGAACGTGATGTTCAGTAGGCGCGCAATGGTGTTTAGTCATGTAACTCTATTGTAAATAAAACATGTAAAGTACTGAAAAAAAATTCATAAAAAACGTTTTAATAACAAGCTTTTATGTACTAATGCACTAAAAAGTAGAAAATAAATTATACACTACTATTTAAATTACTATAAAGAAAAGCGTGGGTGTCTTCCTTAACATTAGTAAAAGTATCCAATAGATACTAAAGTGACCCACGCTTTTCTTTATAGTAATTTTAATAGTAGTGTATAATTTATTTTCTACTTTTTAGTGCATTAGTACATAAAAGCTTGTTATTAAAACGTTTTTTATGAATTTTTTTTAATCCATTTTAAATACTTAAAGTTTTAAAAATAGAATAAAATCTCGTAGACAAATTAATTGCACACCAAGTGAACGCGAAATAAAAAAGCGCATAATAGTGCGCAATATTATTAGTACTTTTAAAATTTACATTAGTTTTTTTGAGAAATCGGAAGTAGCGTAAATTACTACTTCCGGTCAACGGAAATTACTCAAAATTTAACAGAAGGTAGAGAATTAGATCTTTTACTTACATGTGAAATTTCATTTATCTATCTGAAATAGTACTCAAGTTATAGGCTTTTGAAAAATTCAAAGTAGAAAAAGTACCACTTCCGGTTGTCGGAAATCGCTCAAAAGTTGATACGGATCTACGATTTTGATATAATACTTATATATGAAATTTCATCAACCTAGCTATAACGGTACTCAAGTTATCGTGTTTACACACGGACACACACACAGACACACAGACACACACACACACACAGACATACGGACAAGATTGCAAAATTATGTTTTTCCGTATCAGTGAGGTGTAAAACGTCGAGATTTGTAAAAATCTCGATTTTTTTTTTTGCACGATTACAATACTTTCTCTATACTACGTATATACGAGAAAGTAAAAAAATGATCTTTAAAGATCACAAAAAACAATAGCTAATTAGAAAATGTGTGATCTGAACTGTAAGACCAATGGTTTAGTTACATGTATGCTATTATTTAAAATCTTCCACCTATTACTATTAGGTTTAGTCTATACAATTATATATAAAGCAAAGTGGTCGGCACTGGTCGAGTGTCCGATAGGGCACTTCCTGGCGCCGCAGGCGCGTCAAATTTGGCAGGATCCTGCCTTGGGACAATAGAACACGAGGGCCGGTGCCGGTTGGCCGAAAGGTCCACAAAGAGGGGGTCAAAACGGACCTCGACTAACAGGCGCCTTATATGGGCTATATCAGGGGTCGGCAACCTTTTGATACGCAAGAGCCAAAAGTTACAATTTACAAACGTTCCCAGTTTTTAAAGAGCCACAACATTTTTAGTTCAATATTCGGTATTTGATTAGGATTAGGTAATTAAAGTTGATTTGTTATTTAAAATAAATAGCTTTAAATATGAAATAATATTTATTCATATAAAACCATAGTCCTGTTTCGCCAGAACAGTAAAATTAGTAATCAAATAATATTATTCTAGGACTATCTCAATCCACTTTAGAAGCTGTTTATTTAATTTTTTTTTTTTTTTTTACGGATATCACCGGCTCAGGAGGTGTCTCCCATTAGCCAGTCAGCCCTTAACACTGCAAACGCCGACTAACTGGCTTGGATATCGGTTTGAATAACTTGCATCGTACGCTTCTGTCCTTTGGTTCTCATAAGGCTTATCCTCCATTCCACTGAACGCAGGGTAAATTCGTACCCCACTGTCCAGTAACAATGAAATTATATAACTATTAATATGTGTGCAAGAAGCTGGAGAGCCGCAGATTGCCGACCCCTGCGCTGTATATAAAAAAAAAATTCACACGTAGGAACCTTGTGAAAACTCTTAGAGATGTACATCGGACCCAGGGGGTCAGGAAAAAAATTGTGTAACCCTCGGAGCAACGGCAAAGGAATGTTTGAACTGACCAGAGGCCATATTTCATTATATAAACATAGTACTTACATTATGCTGTAAGATTTTAGCATTTATGATGACAATATATTTAATTCTGATTGTAGACAACATATTTTTGTAAAAACGAATAAAGTTAAGTTTCTTTACTACATACTAAAGTAATTAGTGATATGTTTTGACATTTGCAATTGAATTTGTAGAAATATACATATGTATATTAAGAGTGTGATTATTTCCACTAGTTCGTTTGTCTTAATTTTCTAGGAATCATTATGTGAAATGGTTTTTTTACTTTCTCGTATATACGTAGTATAGAGAAAGTATTGTAATCGTGCAAAAAAAAAAATCGAGATTTTTACAAATCTCGACGTTTTACACCTCACTGATACGGAAAAACATAATTTTGCAATCTTGTCCGTATGTCTGTGTGTGTGTGTGTCTGTCTGTCTGTCTGTCTGTCCGTGTGTAAACACGATAACTTGAGTACCGTTACAGCTAGGTTGATGAAATTTCATATATAAGTATTTTATCAAAATCGTAGATCCGTATCAACTTTTGAGCGATTTCCGATAACCGGAAGTGGTACTTTTCCTACTTTGAATTTTTCAAAAGCCTATAACTTGAGTACTATTTCAGATAGATAAATGAAATTTCACATGTAAGTAAAAGATCTTATTCTCTACCTTCTGTTAAATTTTGAGTAATTTCCGTTGACTGGAAGTAGTAATTTACGCTACTTCCGATTTCTCAAAAAACTAATGTAAATTTTTAAAGTACTAATAATATTGCGCACTATTATACGCGTTTTTATTCGGCGTTTGCTTGGTGCGCAATGTTTTTTTTATGAGATTCTATTCTATTTTTAAAAGTTTAAGTATTTAAAATGGATTAAAAATCATAACTATATCCCCAGTTACCATCCCCTGTTGTTTTATATAAGAATATTCGAGAAAGTTTAGGGGAGATCACTACCGGTTTATTTTACACAAGGATTAAAAACAGATTGTGTTGCGTTCATGTGTGCGTGTTTCTTTTTTTTTTTTTAGAGTGATAAATTGTTTTATTTTGTCAGCCAACATTGTATTTTTTTCTTATTTCTTCAGAGTACTTTCAATTTATTTTACATCATAGCGAAGCAATGACATACATCTAGTGTATATATATCCAACCCATACCTTATCATTATTCTAAAAAAATACATATATAATATATATATACATATATATATATATATATATATATATATAATGCTGGAAAAAAATTTGAACCCCTCCCCCCCCCCCCCCATGAGACGATCCTGGCTACATTTATTCGGTTGTGTAGTTGGCCTACATAATTTAGTTTTTATTTTTGAGCATGGCGTTAATTCACAAAGACGTATATTTACACGTGCACTAGCCAGATATAGGGAGCTGTGAGATTATAATTTATGTGATACAGCAGCCTCCTATTTATAAAGAAACTGGTGGATAATGTAGCCTGCAAATTAATTTTTTTAGTCTATTTCAACGACCTAAAATAGGCACAATATAAAGTAAGGCTCTGCTTTAAGTGTATGAATAACATCATTAATTTATTCATTTGGCAAACAATTCAATACAGAGGTTTTTTTTTAATTTATGCTTTTAATAGAAAGAAAGTTGATTTAAGGGTTGGACCAGTGTCCAACATATAAATGGATGCACGCATATGCAGATCAGCTGGAGGCCATATACCCTGCCAGAAATATACAACCTTCTGCTACCCATAACAAAATCAAAATGTGTAATCAATGAAATAAAAGTTGTTTTTTTCTTTTCGTATTTCACAATTTTAAAGTTTTAATAATACTGTAATGACAGAGGTCATGATGGGATGCTAGAACTATGACAACTGACCAGAAAGCCTGGAGTTTCTATTACAGGTTCAAGTCTATAGTAAGACCCTGAGTTCACCCAGCTCTGATGGGTACCTGACACGTTAGGGAAATCAAAGCAGCTGAGCATAGTGCTGACCACACTATCCTGTCACATTCTGTGATCACTGAAACAGGTAAACTCTACTTCTTCTGTCTTGGGCATGAACGATATAAGATGACAATGATAAATGCTGTGATCAATTTTTTTAAATTAACTATTTTAAAAACAAATTAAGTTTTAGACTACATCAATTGAACTCAAGATGCATGTTGAGAATTATATGAGGTGAACATAATTTTTTATAAAATTGGTTTACAAGACAATTTTTTTTTACTGATTGCCCAAAATGGTAAACTCTGCTTGATACTGTAAACAATGTGGCAACAAGCCAATGTTTGCTCAACTTATCGTCCAATATGGTAAACACTAGGCAACAAGCCAATGTTTGCATAGTACCATAATGTGGTAAACAGTGAAGCACCAAGCCAATATTCACTTTACTGATAGCCCAAAATTGTGATAGTTTTCTTCAGCTCTGGGGCTGTGAACAAAGCCTCCCTCATGATGGTGTCCAGTTCATTCAGGGCCAGGTGTGCATGGAACCTGACCTTGTCGTCAGCATCACAGGTGAAGCACCTTTTTAAAATTCTGTAGAGATCCAACAGGACATCAGACAGGGTCTGTAAAAAAAATTTAGTAAGGTGAAAAGGCACAGTTTAGCAGGGCATGGGTGTCATCCATAAATAATGTCACGCTTTTTTTGACGATTTTTACCTTCCCCCTCCCCTCCACACACATCTTCACAAAAAGACACCCCCCCCCCCTAAAATGACATCACACCTCAGCCTCAATTGCAGTTGAATTTTTCTTAAAACATCGATATTTTTTTCCAAAATCTTGTCCAAACTCTGTCAACATAGAGTATTTTGATCAATTCCTATTCCAATTTATTGTTACAGTTTTCTAAAACGGGAAATAATGGCTAAAACTCATTTTCTAACATTGCTTTTTTATAACGCAAAAGTGTGACGTCACATCATCTGAACCCCCCATCCCCCTTATCACACACCGTCACAAAATTACAGAACCCCTCCCCCCTACGAGTGTGACGTCATTTATGGACGCCACCCCCCCCCCCCCCCCCATGTGCTGACCACAGTGACTCTTACTATTTCATAGTGGGGAGAGTGGGGTTATTAGAATACAATCAAGCCATTTCCTGAGTTGGATGGGGTAGAGGAATACAAAATAGCAGTTTCATGCATGGTATGTGAATAGAAGCTATTTCATTAATGAGGTATATGAATAGAAGCTATTTCATTAATGAGGTATATGAATAGAAGCTATTTCATTAATGAGATATATGAATAGAAGCTATTTCATTAATGAGGTATATGAATAGAAGCTATTTCATTAATGAGGTATATGAATAGAGGCTACTTTATTAATGAGGTATATGAATAGAAGCTATTTCATTAATGAGGTATACAAATAGAAGCTATTTCATTAATGAGGTATATGAATAGAAGCTATTTCATTAATGAGGTATATGAATAGAAGCTATTTCATTAATGAGGTGGGTATAAGAATACATTAAAAGTTTTATAAGTGGGATGGGGTGGGTATAGGAATAGAAACTAACAATCAGATAAGAGGGGATGTATGAGAATAAAACTAACAATTTCATAAGTTACAGGGTGGGGCAGGGGTATAAGAACAAAAATTTACAATGTCTAATTTTTCAACCTAAAGATTGAGTTTTGAAAAAAAATCTCATACAGGTGGGTCTAGGTATTGCAGATTAGCATTATGAAGAACAGAGAACATGCTTGTAGCCCTGCACTTGATCTGGTTCACAGGGGTGCACTCACCAGAAGGGAATCTTTGCCCAGCCCTTGTAACAGCAATGTCAAGGTCATGGCCGCAGCTTTCCTGGGTTCAGAATCTGGGTCAGACTGGATGACATCACGACAGCAACTCAGAACCTGAAATAAAAGTCAAGAACTGAAATATTCTGCTTCCACCTTCAATAAATCACATTCAGGCGAATCCGTCATACAAATCATTAGAAATATTTGGTGTAGTTTTTATATGAAAATTGGATTATGCCACAATAATGGTCTAGTCTACACATGTCTCTAAACATTGGCTATAAAGTATATGATCAGGGACACTCCATTTATCTGTGGATTAAATGGACGAAGGTGAGGTAAGTCTGGAGTGGTGGATTCAGACCTTATCTGGCTATTCTCTTGTGTTGTCTTCACTCTGATGATTATCTGTATCTTTGCCAATAGCTTTGAAAGAATACTTAATGTAGGCCTACAATATTTTTATTTCAGTTAAAAATCCCACTTCAAACACTGAACTCATGTAGAGAAGTCAAGCAGGTACCTCATGTATGATTGGCCCTATAGAGAAGTCAAGCAGGTACCTCATGTATGATTGGCCCTATAGAGAAGTCAAGCAGGTACCTCATGTATGATTGGCCCTATAAAGAAGTCAAGCAGGTACCTCATGTATGATTGGCCCTATAGAGAAGTCAAGCAGGTACCTCATGTATGATTGGTCCTATAGAGAAGTCAAGCAGGTACCTCATGTATGATTGGCCCTATAGAGAAGTCAAGCAGGTACCTCATGTATGATTGGCCCTATAGAGAAGTCAAGCAGGTACCTCATGTATGATTGGCCCTATAGAGAAGTCAAGCAGGTACCTCATGTATGATTGGCCCTATAGAGAAGTCAAGCAGTACCTCATGTATGTTTGGCCCTATAGAGAAGTCAAGCAGGTACCTCATGTATGATTGGCCCTATAGAGAAGTCAAGCAGGTACCTCATGTATGATTGGTCCTATAGAGAACCTCAACAGTTTACACAGCTCTGCCAGATTGGACAAACTGCTGGCTCTCACTAAAGCATCTCGGTGCCTGCAGCCAACCAAAGTTGCCGTCAGAAGTAGATCACGATAGACAGGTGTTAATTCCCCTGATGATTGTAAAAAAATAAAATAATAATAAAATAAACATTGACCACACACACATACAAAATATTTAAAAAAATAATAACCATAATCTAAATGATTTAGACAAATTTTTTAGTGCCGATATTACTGCAGTTGTTGCCTTTTTTTATTAATTAAATCTTCCATTTTTATTTTGGCATAACAGCTGTTTTTTTTTTAACCTAGAGTTGTCAAATCAAGTGACAAGCAATGATGATAGCAATAAAAAGTCATTTTTTTCTGTAATAAAAACTGAATTCTGGATTTGTCATGTTCCCCATGTGCATATCCAGCTCTTATGGGTACCTGACATCAGACTTTGAAAAACTAATCCTACCACTCGATTATGTGTAACCACATATACAGGTATGGGACGGAGTGGTCAGCGGTAGAGAGCTGGACTGCTTACCCGTTAGTCTCGAGTTCGAATCCGGGTTCAAGTTTATAGACCGTCCCTGAGTCCACCCAACTCTGATGGGTACCTAACTCACGTTAGGGAAAGTAAAGGCGGCTGGGCATAGTGCTGACCACACTATCTCTTCATATGCCGAGGTCACAGAAACAAGTGAACTCTACTTCACTTGCCCCTTAGACCGTCAGGTTTGAAAAGGGAACTTTTTTTTACTTTACATATACAGGTATGCTCATAATAATTTATCTTTTTTTTTTCTTGTGATACACAAAGTATAATTTACAAAAACCCTACCTAAACGTCTTGTTGCTTTCATGAGTGCCTCGCCCACTTTCAGGGTCATCTCCTCAGATTTGGCGCCCCTGCTACACAGTGTTCTGAACTCTGCTGTGAGGCGTGTCAGGACTTGATGAGGGTTAAGGTCACCTAGTGCAGACAGGCCGTTCACTGCTGCCAGGTACATGTAGGAATCTGTGTGTGTCAGGTTTTCAAGAAAAATCTGGGGGGGGGAAAAGTAAGACTAAAATGTATAAGAGCTCACAGACTTAAAATCTAAGTTTAGACAAAAACTCCCATTTAAAAAGATTTTTAAAAATGTTAAAAACCTTTGAATAGGTTTCACAAATGTTTTCTACTCATAAACAAAGTGAATTTTTTTTTTAAATTCTTACCATATTTTATTGGAAAATGCACATATTTACAAACAAAATACACATCTAATTATTTATTGCTGTTAATATTTAGAAAATTATCAAGATAATTTATTTATTTCACCTTCAAAAGAACTTGCTGTTTCTCAATGACTTCTGGGTTCCTGTTCTCTACCAGCTTGGCCAGAGTTATCAGCCCATGGCTCCTGACAGGCAACAGTGGGTCACACAAATCCTGCAGAGCTGACTCTATGCTGTCAGGTGTTTTACCATGGGCTGAGGATACACAAATTTCATTTTATTTAATCTAAACATTTTTTTAACAAGTAAATAATACCAGAAGCTTAATTTTTAATTGGTTAAATGTTTTGTAGTATTGAGAACAAATTGTATTGAGAACAAATTGCCTTACTATAACTTTCATTTGGCCTGTCAGGTTTGGTATGACAATCATGGCCATCTTCAAAACTTGTTTCAGCCAGGAGCTCAATGAGTGGTTTCTTTGTAGTAGTCTCCCCTGGTTTATTATTCTAACAGGAGTACATTTAAAATAAATTAGTAAATACGGGAAAAACAGTACGGGAAGGTGTTATCAATTGTGGAAGAAAAATTACAGATGATCAAAGTGGGAATCTGCTTACAACGTTGAAATCTACAATTTAGTATATTAGAACAGGACTATACAGGCTGTAAAAAAATTGTGTTGTTTTGAGCACACACCTATCCTATTAACTACAGATACATTTTGACTGTTTTATCAAGTGTAGTTTGCTAGCTGGGTGTACTGACATTGTACTTATCTGGTATAGCTACCAGAATCATAAGTCTAGCCAGAATCCTGACCCAAAACAATACATCATGAAAAAAATTCTTAATTGCATTCATGCAATAGTAGAAGAACAAAATCTGCTCTTAAGTCTGAATAGCAAAAACCTCTAGGCATAGTAAACAACATGTAGATCAGCAAGGAAACAAACCTTATCAACTGCTGATGGTTTAGTTTTTGGTTTGCTCAGCTCCGCCCACACAAGCCCTCTTGTTGCCACGGCAACCTTCAGGTCCTCAGCCATTTCCTTAACACTTGGGTCTGTAGCCTCACTCTCTCCAACAGCTGACAACAGAGGCAGGAGACCATCTAGAAGCTGCTTGTCTTCCTCAGTCAACTGTTGAAACATTTTTTACTAATAATCCTGTTTTGTTAATTTAATAATTTAATACATTTTAACCATATTTTTTAAATTGTAAAATTGTATATTTAACGTATCTTGAAGGAAACTTGTTCTACCTGTACAGCCCCACCTAGCACAGCTGTCAGCAGCCCTAATGCCATGGATACAGTTTCCCACTCAAAGTATTTTGTGCTGGACTCACTGGTACACTGGCAGACGTGAACACATCTTTCCAATGTTGCCTGCACACATTTTAAAAATTCTTGTTTTTAGTTTCTAAACAAAATTTTGATTCAATATTTGTATTTTATTACATTTTAAATATTATAAAAAAACTTTGAATCATTATATTTTAAAAAAAAACATTTTATACATACATTTTTATATGTTTGATTTATTTTGTTTATCAAGCAGATGACATTTTAACGAAGGGAAATCATTTTTAAAAAAAAAATTAACCTTTGTAAACCTCAGGACATGTTGACTGCTCTGAATAACTTCCTCGCCAAATTTTTCTCCCAGTGCAGCCAAAAAACTGACCAGAGTAATTTTTTCTTTCAATTCCCTGATCTTGTCAGAATGCTCAGCAGAGGTGAGAACTCTAGTGGGCAGTAAAACATCATGATGTTCTACTTCTGTTGTGATGATGTTTGTCAGTTTCTATTTAATCAAATGTAAACAAATAAAATTTTATGAAATCCACCACAACTAATATATTAAAAAAAAAGGATTTTTTTCACTAGAAAAATATTTAGATTAACTGGTTTTGATGAGTCTTGCTTTCAACAACTTAGTTTTGGTCAATATTATTGTTACAGTTAGTGCTAGGTTTGGTCAAAATTTGCAAAAATCCTAGTAAGAAAATAGCTTGGATTTAGCCTGTCTCCATTTTTACAAATATTTAACAAAATGTTCAGATGATTTTTCTTTCAGTCAAGCGAGTTACCTCCAAGAGTGACATGAACAGTTGAGGGATCAAAAGTTCAGAGTTCATCTCCAGCAAAAGACTTAGGGCAGCCTCTCCCGGTTGAAGCCAGGAATCCATATTGAGATCAGACCTAAAATCAAAGGACTTTTTAAAAATTAAAGTATTAAAAACTTTCTCTGATATCAGATTACAAACCACTGCATAAAATTTAACTATTTGATAACACATTTCACAATTCCTGTCATGGTTTAAATTGGTGGAGAACTATAATGAAAAATACAATGCTCCATAATAAACTTAGGATATTTGTCTAAAATAGAAATAGATTATGTTGAAAAGTTATAGATGTGGAAATAAACGGACTACCTGATGTTCTTTCTCTACACGAAGTAACATTTCCACTATTAATTATGTTTCATTTATGTCACACAAAATATAACACACACACTCCTCCCCACCAACAAAAGCAGTTTGACCACAAACCATGCAAGTCTCTTTATAAAAGTTAGATGATTAAATGTAAACAAAAGCTTGAAGAACGTAATAACTAACATAGTAGATTCAGCCAGTACTGCTTGTATCCCACCGTTTACTCCGTACTCAAATTTGACTTTGCTGCGCAGTAAAGGAAATGGGCTGGTCTGGTCAGGTAAATTTGTGACTACAGTCAGCAAGTAGGACACACCTGTCTGGGTGTCACAGTGTGTTAGATATACCTTTAGAAGCTCACTGATATATGATCTGAAAATATGTAATTATAGATAAGGGATGAAAGCCACTAAAATGTAGGCCCTATATAATATGTGGAACATAAAGGGAGTCAACCCATAGCTAAAACTGAAATAGCACAGAGAAAATGTATCAATATTTTGAAAACTTACAATAAGGGATTTATTGTGTCTAGTATGCATTTATAAATAGCATGAAATCACTTACTTTAAACTTGACACTCCATTTCTGGCAAAGACATGGAGTGAAAAGAGCACTCCGAAAATGGGAGATAATGTGGAAGGCAATGTTGATTGTGGTTCTTGACCAAGCACATAAACCTGATGATAGAATTCATCTGTGTTCAGTAATTCATTTAGAATTTGCTAAAAAAATTAGTAAAGATTAGGTTTAGGATTAAGTAGCCAAGAGTAAACAAATAAAAGTACCTTGTGTAAAGTTTCAATACAAGAAGACAAACAATCCTCTGCGACAACGATTTGATGTTGACTGTTTAGTTTATCTGATTGTAAAAATAGCAAAAATTTATTTCAAACAGCTTACATGTAGCACCATAGATGAAAAATAAAATTCAGTTGTAGTTTTCAATACAGAAACTTTTTTTTTTAAACCAGGCAGGACTAAACTGTATTATTCCAATGTTAGTTTATTGATAATAGAACTAGGGTTTAGGTTTGGTTTAACTATATTTTTAGAATAGTGATACTAGAAATATAACAGCATATTGCAGCCTGTCCTTTTATAAATATCAATTCAGCTGTGTAATGTTGATACAGAGATTAAAATAAATTTTCCGAGTAACATTGTCTTACCATTGCTGTAAGTCAGTTTTTGCAGGGGTGATAGTAAATTAGACCAGCAAACAGTCTGCATTATTTCAGCTTGTTGATTGGTCATTTCTAATAGAGTCACACCAATGGCCCTCACCACTAGGGGTTTTATTTTCAGTAGAGGTGTCTTTAGGTGGTCTATCAGCTTATGAAAAAATTTAGCAAGATAATTATTTTTAGGAAATACATTAAAAAAAACAAGAAGAACTGTGTAGATTTCTAATAAAGTAGGCCTACCTGTTGGCACACAGATCTATAGAACTTTTCAGTGTTGCTGGCTGTCAAAGGACACCTGGATATCACCTGTGCCAAGGCACGACACCTCTGCCAGTCTTGAGAGCTTTTACCTGACTCTGCACCTTCTACAACAAAACAAAAAACTCCAGTCACCTAAACACATATTTACTAGTACATAATAACAAACATAAAAATACAACTTTTAAAAAATACAACTTTCAAAAGTTAAAACTTAAAAAATAGTAACTTTGTTTAATGGATATGTAAAGAAAGTATTATTTTAAGTAGTATATTTAAAAAAAAAAAAAACAAGATTTGCCTTCAATGAATAGACCAATCAGATGCTGAACACCAGAGGGAGCCATGATGATATCTCTCAGTATACAAGCCACAGTTTTTCTAAACCAAGGAGCACTCTTCACACTGGAACTACCATGCTGAAAAGTGTATGAGAGTTAACTTGAAACATAAACCACAATTTTCCTCAGTAATCTAAATGGCCATATTCTGTGTCTTTGACAACCTTATGGTAAGCTATACATTTTTGTTAGAAATGCATTTATAATGTCAATAATAAAATATTATTCAAATTTAAACTTTAAACTACTGAAAAAAATACAAGGTCTAGGAGAAATGGCAAATGGCAGTAGTTGCACAAAAGTAGAGATATATGGGGCACAAAATTAAAATAAAATATTCATAAAATTATTTTTTTCTCAAGGAACAATAAACATTTACATGGTGTTAAAATAAAAGGTCACCAAAATATTTCAATATTATATGGTTAAATAGCTAATAAAATAAGACATCTAGTCTAAAAGAAAGAAAATAGATTTTAACTATAGATAATTCACAGAAATGAACGTACTTTCCCAGGACAAGAGAGTAGCATAATAACTTTCAGTGCTTGAGGTGTACTTGTCAATCTAATTACACTGTCAATATTTATGTTCCCATACTCTATGACGGAGTGCAAAGTCCAGGGCTTATTAGTGGAATCAAGATGTATTTTTAGTACTTTATCAGAAGGGAACAATATTAATTCATTGTTGCTGTTGTGTTTTGATACATCAACATTAGAATCTTTGGTTTTTATCTCAATAGCCTCTGCATTAGAATTTTTATCCTTATTTTGTGATTCAAGCTTATTTAATATTATTCTGCTGGAATAACGAAGCTGGATTAACGATGTCAGCAGGTCAGCCAGATAATTATTTAATACAATATCTTTTAATGAAGGAACTTCAAGCATTGAGCACAACAATTTGGTTACAGGCAGAATAAACTGTAACCTCTCCAGATCACTAAATTCTTGTGAGTAATCTTGGGCAGTTGCTAATAATATCTGTCCCGGTCCCAGCCGTTGTGACACTGGTATTCCTACACCAGGAGCCAGGTATGGGTACAAACCTAAGACTAACACAAACTGAACAGCTGTTGATATCACTTTTTCTTGTTGAATACTTAATGCATCAGGACATAAACTTGGTGTCTGTTCGCCACTATTCAACCTAGTACTCAAAGGTTCAACTGAGTTGGAACTTAATTCACTCAAGGCGTTTTTCAAACAATCCAGCACAGCAATACAAACTTCAGTAAATTTTTGTCTTATGGTTAAGTTGTTTCCATCCAAAAATGATTTATGCAGATTATGTTGGAGTAAAAGAAAACCGGAGCCTTCCAGCTTGTCTTGGAGGTCAGATGCTGAAGATAAATGATGAACAAATTGCTGAAGATTGCTCTGTAGGACATTGTCTAAAAGCTGCTCACTGCTTCCTGTGAATAGAAATAATTTTATATTATACTTCTGTTCTTTCAAACTGTTAAAAATGTGTGGATGGATATAGAAAATGTGTTTAAACATGTTTAGGATAGTAGATTTAGTGTTTCTTAGGGGAACTCAAGTGAAGCTGAATAATAGATCTATAGCCTAACCTCTATAGTATAGCAATTAAATTATGAATGTGGGCCTAATTTATTTAAATTTGGGTCTACTTCTCTAACTCAACTCCAGCTGTTAGCTGAGGCTGAGCTTCACTCTCACCCTAGTCTAGGGCAGACAGTAGGCTACTGATACTCAGATACTGGCTACTACTAACTACTTACTTACTACTATCACTACTACTAGATCTACTAAGTCTACTACTAAAAAAGTAACTACTAGAAATCTAGATTCTAGATCGATCTGGTGACCTAGTCTACTCTAGTCTAGTACTAGATCTAGTAGATATCTTTTATCTACTATTATTTTGATTCTAATATATTTACTAAATCTAGATCTAGTAGTAAGTACTAGATCTATACATAATCTAAATCTATTGGATCTAGATTCTAGTATTATTACTTATTAAGTTAAGTTATTAGGTCTACTCTAAGTCTACTCACTCAGAGAATGAGAGATTCTCAGCAGTCAGCTGAGTAGAGAAAGTTGAGGATTTTATTTTTATTTTTTACTTTAACTTAAAATTTAATAATCAAGCTACACATTTTTCTGTGCTTTCATATTTACCATCTAAAAGTGAAGATTTAGACAGGGCTGGGGAAGTTAAAATCGTTAAAGATCGTATAAGTGTTGCAGAACTAATATTTTGATTTTGAATATTTTCATCCATGGAGGACGCCATTTTGCAAGGGGAACTACTCTCATTAATAACTGCGGTACAAAACAAAACTGTTCAACGTAGATGTTCAGGAAAACTGGTAATCTATCGTTTTAGGTACGTAAAATCGCCCGCGACTAGAAGTCTATGATAAGTAATGTGAAAAACAGGTAACTCCTTAGATTTTATTAATTATTTCACATTTTGAGGAGGATATTTATGTTTTTAAAAATACAAAAAATGTTTCCTTGTTTCATTTTATATTTTTTTGGTAATCTATCGTTTTAGGTACGTAAAATCGCCCGCGACTTGTATAGTCTTGTAATGACATGTGAAAAACAGGTGACTCCTTAAATTTTAATAATTATTTCCTACTTTGAGTAGGATTTATGTTTTTTAAAATACAAAAATGTTTCCTTGTTTCATTTATGTACCTGTTTTTAAACAATAACAATTGAATTAAAACTTTTCCGTAATAAATGAAGACTAACAATGGTTTCCAACAGATACAACCATGCTAATTTACTATAGCAACCATCTTGTTTAAGTTTTAATCTTTATAAGCTTATAGCGTGAGATTCAGGGGGAAGCCACTCTATTTTACAAATGGCTGCTGTTTATATAGCAAATCTTGCTCTCAGACACTGCTGTTTAAAGTTAATTTCTGGCCTATATCGATATATTTAGCCATTGATTTAGGTTTATTATTCATTTATCTATAATATTTGACACAAACATATGACAATATACTTCTATTAAAGCCTTGGCAATGAGGTAACGTTTTCGTACATTACAAGTCGCGGGCGATTTTACGTGCCCAAAACGATAGATTACCATTTTTTTTATGTAGGCCTACCTGTTTTTAAACAATTGAATTAAAATAATTAAAACTTTTCAGTAATAATAGTAATAAATGAAGACTAGCGATGTTTCCAACAGATGCAACCATGTGCATTTAGTGACATTTACTATAGTTTAGAGTTTAGCATACAACAGCCATCTTGTTTATTTTTTTTTATGTGTAAACTTATAGCGCAAGATTCAGGGGGAGCCACTCTAACTTACTACAGATGGCCACTTTTTATATATAGCATATCCTGCTTGCAAACACTGCTGTTTAAAGTTAATTTCTTGCCTATATTTTGATATATTTAGCCATTGATTTAGGTTTATTATTCATTTATCTATAATATTTGACACAAATATATCACAATATTATGAATTATGAATATACAATATACTTCTATTACTATTAAAAGTATTAAGCCTTGACAATGAGGTAACTTTTTCGTGCATTACTACTACTTAGCCGCGGGCGATTTTACGTACCTTAAACGATAGATTACCGAAAAACTAAATACTAAATGTAGTATATTCTAAGTATATAGATTTTCAAATTGTTTAAAAACTAAATTATCAGCCCCTAATAGCTGTCACTAATTCGACCCGGCTCTATGATTGTAAGACTCAGCTCTATGATAGTAAACATTTGTCGTGAACCACAGCTCACCAGACTGGTGGGGTGGTAGTGGTAAGGTCTGTTGAACATGCATGGAGAGCGAGGGAGGGGGCTGGTAGGTGTGCATATACATGGTGGTGTCCTGCATGGTTTGTTAACGTAGAGAATTATACATATAGATAATTTATATTATTTGAACATGATTCCTTCAATCAAATATCATTTCAAAGGGCTTAAAAGCTTTTGACTAATAAATATTACATAGGCTATTTTAAAGGCCTAATCTAAGGGTTGTGGTAATACTTTGACATTTACTGTGTGATTAACTGAAAGCTTATTGAGACTGACTCATCTCTGTTATTTTTAATCTTTTGCGGGTGCTTTATGAAAAAAACAATTTAGTAAAAAAGTAATTAGAAATGAGTAAATCAGCTTCAGATCATGTCTCAAGTCCCACAAAAAGGACTTATTATAAAACAAAAATTAGCAAAAGCCAAGACAAAATAAACATAGCTGGTGAAGGAGATGTTTTATCAAGCTCAGACACAAGTAATCTGACTGATGAAACAGAATCTACACATTCGGACAAGACACAGGTAATGTGTATCTAATATTTAGTATAAATTATTACAAAAGTTAGGTATCCTTGGAAAACAAACATCAAGGGTCATGCAGTAGATGAAGTTTATTTATTGGACAGCTGCTTTTATTTATTTTTTTAATCAAGTGTCAGAGCTGGGTTGAGTCAGGTAACCCACATCCAACAAAACTTGCAACATGAGTTAATGATCTTGTAGGCATTTGACCAAATATCCTATATTGTTAAATATCATCTAATGCAATAAATGCAGATCAGATCTATAAATAGGTTCATTTGAAGCACACATTTTATGTATTTATAGCTGATTTTTAGCTGATTTTCAAACTATTCTTTGTTCAAAGTATAACATAAGACTAAGAGGTACTTGTGATTGTTTTCTTTTGAAATTGTAATATTTCAGTAAAATTAATTTTGATAGATTTTCAGAGGGTTTTGGGTTTCATTTTGTTTCAGGAAAATAAATCTTCATCCCCACAAAATAGCGATGAAAACATGGAACCTCCCAGTTTTGAAAACCTCAAAGGATCCTTCTGGTTAACACGAATAGTCCTAATTCGATATATGGGATTTATATATTGTAAGATTTTCATCAAGTGGTCAAAAAATTCAACACTTGTTTGTTGTGATTGATGTGTGGTTGCAGTGTAGGTTCTTAAGCAGTTGGCGGATCTTGCCACAGAAAGTTCAACACACAAAAATTACACATTAGAAAACTGCACATTACACATTAGAAAATGTTGTTGACATAATAAAACTAATTTAACTTGACAAAATGCCTCTCACCATCCAAACTGTAAATAATACTTTCCTAAGACCCTCACACTTTGATAGTTAAGAATAAACTAGAATTCTTCTCTACTTTTACAGGCAACATGATGCTAAAACTTGATTCTCCCTAACAATCATCTTACACATATGCCCTCTTTATACTACACAAATAGTTTTAATCTTCTACAACAGTCACATATTCTACATAATATCAACTGCACATCACACATTCTACTTTCACTTACGTTTTTTGCTTGATTTTTATTTTTGCATTGTAATATGTATATATGTATTATTGAATTTTGATGGATTGTGCAAAAGTATATCTTTATATAAAATAGCAACCTAACTTTAAAATATGTGTTCTATATATTTAATAACTTTTTAATATTTACATTGCATTTCCAGTTGTGGCCTATTATGTCAGCCTTAACCAGAATCGACCATTGTTGGGTAAAAATGGTTTGCTGCCTGCAAATGTTTTCTTGAACAATGTTCGAAACCATCATGGCTCCTCTTCACCATGGACCCTATTCACCAATGTACCTACTCTACTGTGGTTTGTAGACTTTGAAGAAAATATTGACTACTGGTTGGATTGCCTTGCTTGGGTAAAATTTCATATCTATTTCTTCTAAAAAAAATTAAAAAAAATTGTTTTTCTCTTTAGATTTTCAATATAAGTTGTGTAATATTGAAGAAAAAAGTCTAAAAAAATATTTTTGAAGCAGTTGTAGCATATATTGTAGACTGTAATTCTTGACAAGAAAACTTCTACTAAATTTATCTCTAATCGAACACACAGTTGCAAATGTACTTTTTATTTTAATTAATTTTTTCAGGATCAAATGCTACTAAGAAAAAAATATTTTATGTACTAAAAAACACTAATTTTTAATGGACTTGAGGAAGTAAGATATTTTTAAACTGCAAACATTCCTTCTGTTAGTGTGATTCCCAGAACCTTTGTCATATTTCAGACTGGATTAGCTCTGGCTTCCTTAATGATGATAACAGGAGCAGGAAACTGGCCTTTATTACTAATACAGTGGATACTCTATCACTCCATTGCTAATGTGGGTCAGACATGGTAGGGTACTGTTAGTATTCACAACAGGTTTTATATATATATATATATATATATATATATATATATATATATATATATATATATATATATATACATATATATATATATATATATATACATATATATATATATACATATATATATATAGTTAGTTTGTTTAGCTAAGCCAACGATAACAGGGTTAGCTGAATGGTTTGTGTTCATTTCTCGAGAATTTAGGTTCTGGAAAGATTTTTTTCCTTAGGACTTGACTTTAAGCAGAAACCAATACAGTCTTAGTTACATAACAGCTGATACTTGCTCATTTTTTTTGGCCAAATACACCAGGTACCACACATTATCTACACATTACCTAGCAATATAGTCTATTCAAAGAATAATATTGTCATCTAACACACAATCAACCAGGAATAGTGAATTTTAAAATGAATGTATTTTAAGTACTATCAATAAAGTAATTTATAGCTAACACTACTAACAGTAAATTTAATATAATTTTGTTAATACTTTTCCCAGGTTTTCTTTTGGTAAGTAAACGTACTTAAATTGTTATACATCTGGTTAATAGAATATTAGCTCATTGTATATTAATGATAACTGTTTATTAATAATTAATATAACCATTTTAATTTGTTATGTATTTTTTGTTTCTCTTTGCAGGATGGGAAAGTCAAGTTCTTGAAACAGGTTTTCTAACAACATTTTTGTGCCCAATGCTGTCATTATCATCTCTTCCAAAAAAAACACCTACTTCAAAAATCATTATTTTTGCATATAGATGGCTGATATTTCGCATAATGCTTGGTGCTGTAAGTCTGTTTGTTTTTGTTGTTTTTTTTTTGTTTTTTTTTTTGCTGTTAGCAAATATGATAACAACAGAGTAAAACACTTCATTATGTAGAGTTGTTTTGTTTGTTTTTTTTGTAAAAAAAAATATTTTAAAAGTCTTGTGTACATTAGAATTAATAACATCTATTTAGTATGAGCATATAGCTTTAAACAGTGAAAATCAAATTTACAAAATAGAGAATACATTGGTAAAGAATTATTTTTTTCTTTGTTTACTCAGGGTCTAATAAAAATACGAGGTGACAAATGTTGGCATGACCTGACATGCATGAATTATCATTATGAGGTATTGTTTTCTTTTCAACACTTGGATATTACTCATTGTAGTGGTGCTAAAGTGGGTTTTATTTAATAACAGTTCTATTAACCCATTATTTAATAATTTAATGAATAGTATGTTATTTGTTATTGCAATAAGATACATTAATTTTTTTTTAAATTATCTGAATGATGCTGATCCAAAATATTTTCTAATTTATATTCAAAGTCTGGTCACATCTCTATATAATATTTAAATGCATTATATTTAACAATTTTATAATATTTTTTTACTGTTAACACTGTACGTGTTTAAAAACTAGAAGAGTATTATTTGTGGAAACTTATTACTAAATTTTCTATTATTTCCTATAACTGAAGTAAGCTTATCTTTCAGACCCAGCCAGTTCCCAACCCTTTGAGTTACTTCATGCACCAGTCACCTGAGCCATTTCACAAGTTTGAAGTCTTGTCCAATCATTTTGTTGAGCTTGTAGCCCCATTTTTTCTTCTGTTGACACGTAAACTGTGCATGTTTGGGGGAGCCGTTCAAATTTTATTTCAGGTAAGTTTCAACAGGTTTATTCTGATAGGCTTACTTTTAAAAACTTGCATTAGCAGCTGACAGGCATTGCACAGCCACCATTAGTTTCTCTATTTAGAATCAGGTAAAACACCAGATCTGTTTGGGCATCCTATGGACTCAGGCAAGAGATCCGATCTTGAGAATTTTGGTGTTGGCAATCTTGTGCCCTACTCCATGACCATGCTGAAACAAACACATGAACTCTTCCGTCTAAAAGAATATGTTTTATGCTTAGATATCATGGCATTCTACAATTATTACTTTTAATTGAGCACTAACCATTGATGAAAGATGTAATTAGGAACAGACTATATTAAAATATATTTGCTTACAACTTCACTTAAGCCACTTGTCAGCTGTATGTGCATACATGAAAGGCTTATGTTTCAGGTTGTTTTGATCATCAGTGGCAACCTGAGTTTCTTAAACTGGTTGACCATTCTACCTAGTCTGGCCTGCTTTGATGATGCCAGCTACTCTTGTTTCTTCAGTACAGAAGTCAGATTGAGAGTGGCTAAACTTAATGCTGAGAAAAAATTAGACAAATGGAGAATAAGTGAGAAGCAGTAATTAATAAGCTTATGATTATAAGCAGTCATTAATAAGCTTGTGATTATAAATTCTAAAATTACTTTAACCATTCACAACCTATCTCAATGTTATGCTTATGGTCAGTACTTTGGGGTATTTTAATTGTTTGTTAGTCCAACCATAAAGTTTGGATAAAATATTTGTACAATTATTGTTTTTAAAATATAAACCTTCTTGTTTGATGATAATTTACTAGCCATGTTAATATTTTTTTTATGTTGTTCAGCACTTCTGATAAGAAAGGTTTTCAACATCAGCTTTGGGGTTCTGATAGTTTACCTAAGCATACCAGTGGTACAAAACTTGCTGTCTCCAAGACAAGCCATGAACACATCATTTGATCCTCTTCGTTTGGTTAACACATATGGTGCTTTTGGCAGGTAATGGAATCAAAACATATATTTTATGTTTATTTTAAGTATAGTTTAAATTTTATGCTAGTGATTAAATAAAATCTTAAATAGCAACAAATATATTTAACATTTGGCAACTTTTCCCTTAAATCTAGTAACTTTATTTAAAACTTTAACAGTTGAATCATCAAAAACAGTGTGTATCGAATGTGTTAAAGCAATTAAAAAAACTTCATTACAATAACATTTTCTCAACAATAAAAATAAAAAATTCATTAGAGATCAAAATAGTTATTATAATATAATTATTATAGGTTGTCAAATACCTAACCTAAATTATGAGGTACGATATAAGCATAAATATTGCAATACTTAAAAGATTGTTCCATAATTATAGACAGAATGCATAAAATGAATAGTAGATAATTTGAACATGAATCTTCATTTACTAATACTAGTTGTTTCTTGTTAGTACTCGACTTTATCTATAGTTGACCTAAATGATCCTTTATTTATACATCGTGGCTGATTTAGACATGTTTGGTGTTCTGATTCTCCATCCTTTGTTTAAAACTAAATGTTTAAATGAAACATGTTTCCATCATGTTCAAGTTAATTAAAATTACAAACAAGTTGACAAGATATATATAATTTATTTAAGTCTAAATTAACTTGGTAATTACATTTTTAAGTTAAATGAAGGTTTATGAGGGCCATAATAAAAAATACACATTAGTTCCTGGAAAGTCTCAGGCAAATACAGATTAACCCTACTTAAGACAGTAAGCTTATAGCAGAATTTATATGTTACAAGAAGATTTAGCTTTTTCTGATAAATCTTTAGCATCACCAAGAAGAGGACTGAGGTGATATTTGAAGGAACAAATAGTTCTTCTCCCAGTTCTCCAAATGCTGTGTGGGAAGAGTATCAGTTCAAGTGCAAACCTGGAGATGTTTTCCGCAGGCCATGCATTATATCCCCATTCCACTACCGCCTAGATTGGCTCATGTGGTTTGCAGCTTTTCAAGTAAGTTTCAGGTGGATTATTTAATCAGTTGATTTATAGGAAATAAAGGGATTTCCTAGTTTGATTACATTTCATGTGTTTTGTTTTTATGTTTAGAATTACAACCACAATCCCTGGTTGATACACTTGGCAGCTAAGTTCTTGTTGAATGATGAACAAACGGAATCTCTGATTGCTTTTAACCCTTTCTCTGGAAGATCTCCACCAAAGTAAGATTTAAGAAGAATAGTGTTTTGTAAAATCAAATATTTAAAATTGTAGTTTGCTTATATCAATATTTACATCCATATATAATTAGCTGAATTTAATTTATAATTGTCAAAAAAATTAGCACACTTCAGCTTATTTTCATAGAATATAAATTGACCATTATTATTAAAAATATTTTTAAAATCAGAGATTTTTTTTTTAAATTTTTGTTTTAAATTTTTAAAAATTATATTTTATAACAGATATGTACGTGCTGAGCATTACCGTTATGTGTTCTCTAAAATTGGTTCACCTGAAGCCAAGCTGGGCCAGTGGTGGAAGAGAAAAAAGAAAGGTGTCTACCTTCACCCTGTCTCTCTGGAAATGTTGGCTCCTACCATTAAGCACATGGGTTGGCCTGTACCAAAGCTTACCAGAGGGAATGTTGAGCAAGAATTGTGAATTATTTGTTTAGATTAAATTGTGTTTATATTCATGTGCATACTCCTTGGTTATATTACATTTGTAAGCAACTTTGTGAATCTTTTTTCAGTGAATTTTCTGACAAAGTTGTTTGTGACCAGCACTTAAGTCTCACTGTGTTAGTGATCACAGCAGTTAAGGTTCCTTATCCTGTGTTTTAAATAGGATGTCTTACTTAGAGATTTTTACCTTTATGGGTTCCCAATAAAAAAACTATATTTCACAGCAACTGTTCAAAGGCCAAGATATTTATATTTTTCTTGTTAATTAAATGTCATTGGTATGGGATCTATATCTTTTTTTATAATAGCTAATAAAAAAAATTTCATTTGGGTACTATCCAGTCTCTAGCAGTATAGAAAGTAATTACAATGGTATTTTAACACTGTTTAGACTAATTGCAATATGTCTATACTATACATGTCTAGAAAAAAAAATAGCAAAAAGTTAATGTTATTATGTTATTAATATTATATGAAAACATTTTTCCCGCAGAACATTGAGTTTTTTTAGACATGTATAGTATACATGTGGCAAGTGTAAACAAGGTGTAACAATATGCTTTTTCTCTTGTGATGTTTGTATTTATTATTTATTGGTTTTATTGACATAAAAATATTGTATTATGTTACAATAAAGTAATAACAAATATAATATTTTCTTGGTTTAGTCTGTTTTATATTTTTTATCATTGTTATACAATACATTTTTACAATTAGAAGTCTTTTATGCCCATGAGTTTATCCAGCTCTAACAGGTAACCAGTGTCGTAGCCAGGATCGTCTCAAGGGGGGGTTCCAATTATTTTTACCGGGGACAAGCTTTCTATTTGCACCCCCCCCCCCTTCAGACTTTTGATTTGCAGCCCCCCCCCCCTCAAACTTTTGATTTGCACCCCCCCTCAAACTTTATTTATATATACCGAGGGGTCTATGGGGGGGGGGGGGGTTATGACCCCCCTAACCCCCTCCTGCCTATGCCGCTGCAGGTAACTGACTAGTCTCTGTAAAAGTAAAGACAGACATGATGCTGACCACATAATCAACTGATTATTATCTCATGGGCCTAGAATCTAGATCATAAATGGTGAAATAGGCCTACACTGGGAACGGCTTCGTCAAAAATTACATCATGAGGGGAGGCAGGGTGCTATATAGATCTATGTGCGCAGGGGCAGCTCTGGCCGAGAAAAAAATAATTTGGGACCACTGCTCTATGCTTTCTCTGTGGCGAATAATATGACTTTCATTTTTTAAACTTTTAGATAAATGTGCTATATTTAGCATTTTAAGTTTCCACACCGTTATAAAATAAAGCAGCAGTCTAAGCAGGTCAAAAAAAATGTACTTATTCAAGATCACAAGACCCGGAAACAGTACAATATAAAGATAAACTTAGGGCACGAGATCAAAAACTGTGGACACTTTTGTTAGGCTAAACTAGACTTAGGTTGCCTTACGTAACAAGTGTAACAAACTTAAAGAATAATTTTAAAATTACATCAAAGTACTCACTAGAGTAGAGTCCAGTCTAGATCTAAAAACAGAAAGTAAAAACGAGTTTTAAAGGAGATCTAAGATTCTAGATCTAGATCTACAAGCTGATTTTTTTTAGAGTTTATTGAAAAATGGAGTGTTTACCATCAGAGGTAAGATTTTAAAAAAATATTTTGAATTATTTAGGCCTATTAATTATTATTTTGTATCTAGATCTAGATCTAGAAATATTAAATATAGCTCTATAATATTAATTATTCTAAAATCTATAATAATATTTCATATTGTTCGAATTTACAAAAAAATAAAATAAACCTGATCCTAAACTAAAAATGTAGGCCTAATGCGGCTCATGCCTAATGTAACTGTTTTTAAAAAATTAATAGAATCTAGATCTAATTGTTAAACTGTTTTTTTGTTTTTAGTAACACCATGATGTTTTGATGTTTATTTACAAAATTCTAGTGATAAAAAAAATTAATAAAACTAAAACAAACTGTTTTTGCAGAATTAAAAAAAAATTATTTTGTTACCGTAACTCTACGGACTAGATCTTACCCTAGACTCTTTTACCTAAAACATCTGTCAATATTAAGAATATTTTGATTCGACTCTTTGTAGTTTGTATCCCTAGCAGAACATCTCTCCATCCTGGATTCAAAGGGTCAATTCTAAATATCATCCTTAGTTAAATATAAACTGAAAATAATAATTAAAACAATTTCATTTAAATAGATCAGGCGATAGACTAGTAAATCACTAGTTGTAGATGTCCTAGATTGCCTATTGGCCCTTGAAAAGTAATTTAAGCTGTCTTTAGTGCCCTTTAGCCTAAAGCGTTTAGGTTTCATATACTTCATAAGTTAACTCAGAGGCGTAGCAACACCCTTCCCGGCGCCCGGGGACAAACTTTTTGATTTGCACCCCCTCAAGATTTTGATTTGCACCCCCCCTCAAGATTTTGATTTGCACACCCCCCCCCCCCCCCCCCCCTCAAACTTTCAATTTGCACCCCCTCCCCCCTCAACCTTTCAAGTTTTTTTTCCAACCCTTTTTGGCGCCCCTAAGGTCGGCGCCCGGGGGACATATGTCATTCCCCCCCCCCCCCCTCGCTACGCTACTGAGTTAACTCCTTCAAGTCAGTTAAAGAAGTTATGGCCAGTTTGAGGGTTCTGTTAGTTAGTTAAAGTCTGTTATTAAAGTGATCTGTTGAAGGAATTAAAAAGATCGGTATAAAACATCTATTTTGCATTGTTGTTATCTTGTGATAATTTTTTGTTAGTCCCCTCTTCATTATGATATTATCTGATGCGTGTGCAATAATTATTTTGATTTGATGTTGTTGCTTTACAGACAATATTGGATTTAAATTTTGTTTGTTTTTTTCTTTTCAGTTGATCACACATATTCTAAGATTTCTTAGTTTTTCTGATCGTCAGGAGGCATCTCTTGTTTGTAAGAATTGGTACAGTGCATCACTGCATCCACTTTTGCAGAAAAATGTTGTAGTAAAATGCAAGCCCCCAGAAAAAGATGCTCTGCCATTTGGTTTAATAACGCAAAGGTTGACCCATATAGATTTTGGAGACTGGGGCACCCGGTCAATCTCAGAAGAAAACCTTGTGTCTCTGTTAAGCAAATGTTCAAGTTTAATTGTACTGGACTTATCTCGCTGTGACCATCTGTTTTTGTCTGGCCGGTTGTTGGCCGGGGAACTGGATAGGAATGCCCTGAAGAAGTCGCTGATTAACGTCAGAGAATTGAAGTTGGAATGTCTGAGGCACATGACAGATGTCACGTTTCTAAGGCTTGTGAGTGTTTTACCAAATATTCAGAAAATTTCTCTAGCTTCAACCCAAATCATTTTTGGCAGTACCAACTACAACTTTGACCCCAGCAGCCCTGTGATGCTCCAGTTTTCAACCATCTTGAAGTTTGTTTATGAGAGGTCAAAGAGAATAAAAGCGATCGATCTCGGCTACACCAACATACCTAATAACGCCCTGGATACACTGGCAAAGATTGATGGCTTGGTCTTAGATGAAATTTCACTCAAGAGCTGTCAAGAAATTTCTGACAAAGGGCTAGTTATGTTTGTTTCAAAGCAACAATCTTTGAAAATTTTGAATATAAGTGATTGTAAAGAGATTGGGAAAAGCAAATCTTTTTTTAGCTATCTTGCTAAATGCCTCCCACAGCTCCATACCCTTAAGTTGAGGAAGTGCCCCAAGTTGGGTGAATGTGATATTGAATCGCTTGGCGACTTTAAATCACTTTCTAACCTAGATCTTGGTGAAGCTATAAACCTGCATGATAAAGACCTAATCAAAGGTCTGTGCAGTAAAGGGCCTCGCTTGTCTAGCCTGTTTATGCCATTTTGTCCTGATATCCATGATGAGTTCGTCATTCAACTGTGCAACAGTAATTATGCGTTAATTCACCTAGATCTGAGCTCATGTTTGAAGCTTACAGATTCTGCAGTTCATGCAATTACCAGAACTCTCACTATGCTGCAAACACTTCGTCTCCCTTATTGCAGGGAAATCTCAGATGTTGGAATACTAGGTTATATACCAGAAAATGGAATTGTTCCCAAGTTTTCTTTTGATTTTGACCACGATGGATGTCCCTGTACTCGGGAAAGAGAAAGCAAAATATTTCGCAAGCCGCAAGGTTTGATAAAAGAACACAGATCTTGTCTTGCCAAAGCCCATGCCAGTTTAGAAAAAGGAGAAAAGATGTTCATGCTTTCAAACTTGGAGCGTCTTCAAGTTCTTGATCTTTCATCTTGTTCAAGGCTTACAGATTTGGCTTTGGCTGAAGCAGTAAAGTTTAAAGAGCTGCGCAGTCTTTTCCTGAATGGTTTGCCCAGAGTGGTTGACAAAACGTTGGCAGTGATTGCCCACCACAATCCAAGCCTGGAAGATGTGAACATCAGAGCCAGTAAAATCACAGATACAGCTGTTGGCGAGATCATTAACCATTGTCCTCGTCTGAAAAGCCTGGATATAAGTCAGTGTGATGGCATCACTGATACATGTCTAAAAATCATTTCACAGAAAGGCAAAAGGCTTCGACACCTGGATGTCTCCTTTTCCAACCTAACACCACAAGCTGTGGCTGATCTGGAGTCTCGTTTGCCAAATCTAAAAGTGGTTTTCAAGCCCCACCTTTATTAACTGGTACCTGTTAATATTATTTTAACAGAACCAAGAAATTTACCAATAATTTTAATTATACCAAGGTAAAGGATCTTTTCTGTAACTATAAAATATATTTTAAACGGCATAGCACTACTTTAAATTTTTAACCATGTAAATGTAATACACAAATAAATATATAAATAACTTGTATAAAACATGTTTACACACTTTTCACCAGTATAAATATGTAAATGAGATTGTGTAAATGGCTGTCTTGTTGATATCTAAAAAATTAACTTTATTCCCCGTTTAAAAGCACATACTGATCTGTTAATATACTTTTAAGCCTTTTGTTACATATTGTTTTTATCATTTTCCAGGTATTATTTGACAAGATTTTTTAAATTTTATTTTGACTTTTTTAATTCTGATCTATTGTATTTCATTCCTTTACTTGGCATTATTGATGAAAATATTTGTGTACATTGCTATCAGGTCTGTTCATACTAAATACATTTTACTTCACTGATATCTGTTATGGGTCAATTATATTTTTTGACAAATATTTTGTGTATATGTTACAAAAATGTTGATGGGATATGCTTAGATTGACTCTTTGTGATTGCACATCATTAGAAATAAAAGTCTGATCAAAGATGACAGGATCTTGAGGTATAGAATTTAAATAAATCACTTGTCATGTTTTAAATTATTGGCTTTGTTATTAAATGTAGACATGATCTAGGATAAAATGTGTGCTTTATATACATATAATTTTGCTTGCACACAATCATGTACAAATGTTATAGGCCTATGTATATGTTTATACAATTATGCACATCTTACTTTATTTTTGTAAAAGCTTTCAAATCTGTGATCCGTTGTTTTGTTCTTTTCTTTTTTTCAAATATTTCCATGATTTATTTGTTACAAAAAATAAACAATATTCTGACATGTAAATCCTTGAAAATTATTGTTATATGACATTATTGGACAATGTTTCATATATATATTTATGATAAATTGATGTACTTTAACTAGTATCGTTTTGTTGATCATACTTTTTTTTTAAAGTTGTTAGGGGTAATGACTATAACTTTTAGAATTAATACAAGATTTTTTTTTTACTTCTGTTGTGGTTGTACCCAAGTGTTTGATTCGGGAAAAAAAAATACAATATTGTTTCATATTGATTTACACAAGATACACAATCTTAACCAGGATTTTTATAATAATTTTAGTTTGATTTATTTATATATATTTATATATACCAATAGTCATAATATCTAGTAGTTCACTACATTTAAAGGAGGCTGAATCAGTTTATAAAAATATAAGCGTGCCCATTTTATTTTTAACCTAAGATATCACTTAAAATTAAAATCACTAATTTGATATATTTATAAAGCTATTATTTAATTTATTATTGAAAATTAATCAAAACCTGAGTAAGTGTTCAAAATATTGAAGACAAAAAAATGGGTGCGGTTTTAACAGACTTTTTACCAAGTGATTTCATGTAATGTAGTACTGTGAAATAACCAACGTTTGGTTTACAGGACCAGCTGTGATTTAACAAGTTTTAGTATATATTCACCTTTTATTTATTTGTTGCTTATACAAATAAAAAACACAAACGTATGCTCAGTCTCTTTTTAATTTTAATGTATGTTTCTGTTTTGTATCAAAAGACATCCTTCTGTCTTGATATTTTCTGACCTTACACTCAACCACTTCAGACCCAGTTTTTATTATTGAAGGTGGAAGGTTTTGTTTTTTACATATCATGTGTACATTTTACATTGCCATTCCATAGTTGCCCTAGTCATTTTTTGGGGTGCTTTGATTTGGTATTTGAAATGTATAGTTCACATACATTTCCTGTATTATGGCACAAACAGATAAAACCATTTAGATTTTTTTTGTCCCTTCAGAGATAACAGATTTTGGTCACTATAGTCCAAAATAAGAAAGAGACTAAATGAAGAATGACCATGATGTTATTAAAAAAGTCAACGTAACACAGCATTTCTCTTAGTTTTTCATCTCTGTGCGCCCTCGGTAAATGGAAAGCTTTTCACAAAGTCCTGATATTTTTACAACCAAGTAAAAGTAAACTCAATGTGAAGTGTGGTTATTTGCTATTACAATAGCATTCTGCCTAGATATCTATTAAACATGCAATATCTAATATCAAAATAAGTGACATTTGTTGAAGGTCTTATGATATAAATAGGATTTTGGACATTAAACTATTTGTTTTGTACCCAATTAAGTGTTAATTAATACAACTATTCAGATTAAACAACGACACACATGAATAATTTTTATTTTTAAAAATTAAGTATTTGTAACAATCTTAAAATTTACATTTTATTTTCAACACAAACTTACATTTAGAATCTGTTTAGTAAATACAACAATTCAGGTTAAGTAACTACACACAGTGTGCTTATTTTTTTATTTCAAAATTCTGTATATATAAAATATGTAACAAAATTTATTTACATTTTATTTCCAACACAACCTTATTTAGAATACAATCAGAAAATCTTGTAAAACAAGACTGCTATAAATGGTTTAATTAAAGTCTTCAATTATTTCAACATTGTTTAAAAGTAATTTATAAACTGCCAACCAGGAGGTGCGAACTCGTGTGTATTGAAAGGCCAATATATATTAACCCAGTTATTTAACTAATGAAAAAATCCACAAACATTGATCATGAGATTTAATACTGTTTTGGTACAGAGCATTTAAACACATTTTAACAATATTTTCATAAATACATGAACTTAGTAATTTGGGATAAATAATCATTAGACAAAATAATTTCAGTCCATATTTATAATTGAAAAATAAAGTTATGTTTTTTTATACAACTTCATTATTTCACAAAATATATATCAAGCCAAAAAATATTTTTTTAAAGAATAGAGAGTTTGCTCTACAAATACTTACTTAATTCATTTATGTCAAGTACCCATGCATGCTTTAAGAAAAATGCTTCGATATATCTAAACTTTTAGGTTTTGAAATAATTCCTTAAAATAACAAAAAAAAAACATCTACTACTAAATGAGTCAGAGAGTGAAAAATATCTTTTTTTAATCTCAAAAATGATTGAGCTAATAAAATAACACTTTTGTTTTAATAATTGAAGAAATTGGTTACAGTTAACAAGGAAAAAACAAAACACAATTTTTTAGGTACCTATTTTTAGATCATATCTTACATGACATCATATCCCTAAATAATTTGTTTGGAAAAAATGTGCCCAATAACACTCAGCAGTCATTTATAAACAACGAGATAATGTAAATAGATATTCATAGATTAACACTTCAACATCAAACCTGCTTCTTTTATCATCTAAAACATTTAAATAGGTCATGCTAGCTCTCCTCCAGAATCTCAATCAGAGACATTCTTGAATGATTGGATCTGTGGCTCAAGCGGCTAGACTGAGGTTTGTTGTGTAAAGAATTTCTACGGCTCATTACTTGCGGTGATGGGATTGAGGTTCTGTCTTCCTCTAAGCTGGAAGAAGAATTGTGGAAGCTGTGGACATTCTCGTCTAGTCCTGTAAGAATGGAAGTAGGCCGGGATACCATGTTGATTCTTCCATTTCTGTTGAGTCAAAAAGTAGAATTGCATTTAGATAAGGGATAAGAACAAGGGAGGTAAGTGGTGTTGAACGACAGGTACATTTTCTTCACTTGAATGGCAGAATGAATCAGAATTCTAAATTTAAAACTGACAGCATAAAGCAAATTAGGAACACATCATATTTGTATGAGCCCTAGCCCAAACAGTAATCATACAAAAAAGTACTGTAAATGTAATTGTGTAATGACATCAACCATGGTGTTTTATTTATAAAAATTAAAGCCCTGATAAGCTTTTTATCTCTGCTCTTTGATTCAGTTATCTTTATTAGTAGCTTTTAAAATCAAGTTTTAAAGAAGGGGAGAGGGAGAGAAAGTCAATGTTAAAAACCATTTAAGTCACGAGAGTTAACATGTTAGTGAAATCTTGCTTAATAATACTTTTCAGGGTGACATTGGATCTGAGACAAAAATAAAATAGTGCTATAGCAATGATTAGTTATTAAGTATGACTTGGTGGATTTAACTAAACACTTACTGGATGGGAGGAAGTCCTATTTTTTTACAGTGCTGCCAGCCTTCGTTCAATGATTTAGCCACACTTTTGGCATACCGTTTTATCTCTTTCATCAAATATGGATCTTTTCTACATCTGTGCAAACAGAAAATGCTCTTCATTTTTGCAATACAATGTGAAAAAAAGCAAAAACATGATAATAAAAAGTTGGGGAAATATGTTGACTCTATGAAAGTATTTGATGACCTTTATTAAGATTTATACTTGTTGGGATAAGTTAAAAAATAAAGGTTTTAATTAAATTTATAAAACTTCATAATTAAGTTAATACGCAATTATTGGAATATTTTCTAGACAGCAGAATAGTATCAATGTAATCAAATGATTTCAAATAATGCACCATATAGTTTTGGTAAACTTAGTTTTTGTATAAGTAGCCTACATCACAGTACTTCTGACTGCGCATTCATATTTTGTTATTCTTTTTAAATGGTTTCCTAATAGCATAAATTACTAGGCCATGAACAACTTACATATGCAGAATTTTCCTGTTTCCTTTGTGATCATGTGACAGATATGAAAGAGCAATGGCAGCTGTCCCCCTAACCTCTTCACTACTGGAACAGAGAAGTTCACACAGAATTTCTACAGCATCAATGGCCACCATAGCAGAAGGCACACCTAAATAGTGTGAGGCTATGAGTTAATATTTTGTATTTGCTTAAAAACAAATATTTGATAAACATGAAGATTAAATAATGCAAATATAAGGTGAGTTATTTTCAAATCTATAAACTTAAATTATAAGAACAGATTTTTTATTTTCTGGGCAAAAAATAAAAAGAATCTATTTATAAAAGTAGACAAAAATATCTGTTTAAATCACAACGTATATATGATATATATATATTGTTCATTTGAGGGTTTTCCTAACAAACCTTTGCTTCAAATGTCTAGGAATGTGTTTATTTACAAAGCTTCACGTTAACGCTTCATTATCATTTAAATTTAACTTCAGATCAAAATTCAAATCTTTTATATTAACAAGGTGATAAGGGATTTATAACCAACCTGCCCTGGTATGACTCAAACTAGCCACGTAGTCTGCAGCGAGAGCTTGTATGTGCACAGACTGGGAATCTTCTAGAAGATCTATTAATAACTTTATACCCACAGCAGAGGCCCTTGCTTGCTCTTCATCAGGAATAATGCGAGCCAGTACAACCACCTGAAGTGGAACAGAGTTGCTGTATAATATTATTATCTAAATAACAGTCTAATCTGTTTGATTTGTTGGCTATATCCATGTGCTCAACACGAGCAAAAAGGAAATAGGTCTATACATTTTTTTAAAGTACAATGTTTTAAGAATACTTTAATATTTGTACAGGTTTCAAGATTTTGTGAAATTATCTCCCTTTTTTCCATCCTTTATAATATGAAGTCATCCAGGCTCAATTCAAGTATAGACAGATATTAGAAACCAAATCCATACTTGTATAACTTATGCTATAGATTTTATAATATTTGGGGAATATTTCTATTTAACTACCATTACCGTCCACAAAAATTTTTCATGAATAATGGTCTAACCTGAAAAGCAGCATTACACCTATAGTATTCATCATCAGATTTCAAGAAAGGAACAAAGCAGTTAAAGCGAATGCCACCCTGTTGATCTATTTCTTTCTGCTGCGTCAAATTGTTGTAGGCAAATGTTGCGAGAGCTGACCCTGCCAAGAGTTGAACAATGGCCTGACTGGAGTAGAGCATTTTGAGAATTCTCACGTAGCTAAAGTCTCCATTCTTTAATATTTCCTCAAGGATTTTTTTATTGCCTGCAATCAGTATATAAATAACTTCATTTACACATATAAAATTTAGTTTGCACAATTTATTCATGCAAGAAGCTGAACTTTTAGGTAATTATATTAGGCCTATATAGGCTATAAGAATAAAAAATTAATAAATCTACTTAAAAAATGAAGTTTTTGATGACCCACCTGTAGGAGGTTATTTTACTTTTTTAAGTTACAGTTAATAGTGCTATTTTTTTTAAAAGCTCCATTTCTACTAATGAAACTCATATGAGCATAGCTTAAATAAGGTGGAATTTAGAACTAAATAATTACCTAAAGAAACACATCCCAAGGTGTATGCAGATTCAACTTGCACTAATTCATTAGAGGCATGGACCAGAAGTGCCACTAAGTATTTAATGCCTTGACATTGAGAAACATAATTCTGGTTTTCTCTATGAGGAATATGTGCAACCCCTAAACACAGAAACCTACAGAAAGAAAATAAATAGAATTCTAAATATCCTAAATTTCTCTTTTTTTTTTACACCCTTTGAAGTTTTTAAAAATTAGCTTCACAATAGTAAAAAAAACTTAATTATTTTTATTGTGCTTACCTTAGTGTCCTTATCACACTGAGGACTATATGGTCATGCTGGGACTTGAGAAGATCAATTAAAGAAAGAATGCCATTAGCCTTCCCAATAACAGACTGTTGATTTAATGGACCTTGGGCTAAAACACCCAAGCCCTCAGAGCCAATAAAGTTTACGTTTTCAGAGTTGGAAAGTAGAAACCGAATAAGCATGGCAACACCTATATCACGAGCCCTTTTCCTTTTCTGTGTTGTACTGTTTCCGGCCAGGGCCCAAACAGCCATAGCAGTCTTTTCTTGCAGAGCCTCAACTCTGTAGTAAGTATAATCAATACTATGTTAAACGTTTTTAAGATGGAACATTTTTTAAACTATTTTTGCCATACAGATGATTATATATCTGTTGAAGGATTCTAAATGAGTATTTTAGTTCAAAAATAAAATAAAAATTTTATTTTCTATATTTTCATAATGTTAAAAAGAGTACAAGGCTAAAACAATTAAGTTTGCGAAAAGGCAAGCAATAAATGTATATAAATAGACTATACTGGAAAAGCATTTGGTGGAATAAAACTGTTATTATGATTTTTATAATAGTTACCTTGTCTTCTTCAACATGTCCATGAGACTTTTTAACAAAATTTCATCAGACAACTCTTTTTGTGTCTGCTCATTTGAATCTGCAAGCTTGTACACAGCACCAGCAACACTTGCCTGATATACATGAGGTGATGAAAACTAATATTTTACCACACCAGTAAATAGTGCCTAGATCTAGTGCATTTTTTTTTATAAATAAGCCCTGACTTACAATTTGTTTTCAACACATTAATATTTTTAATGAAAAACACCAGCGTTAATAGCTAATATTATTTCACTGATACCTCATTTTGTTAAATATACATTTACATTTTAATCTGATTAATTAGTTCTTTTAGTTAAATAACTTTGTTACACACTCACCTGAATTTCTTTGTTCCTCATCTGTGTAGAAAGAATTTTTAAAATTCCCTTTTTTATGTTATTTTTTATAAAAGCACATTGGTTGTCAGAATTCCCATCTGAAATATTTGCAACAGAGTTTGTCAGAGCAAGCACAAGAGCAGGTAGACTGGCTATCTGTAGCCGAAGTGAGATGGTGGAAATTAGTTCTGGTACTTTGCCTACAGAGCTGCGTAATTTTTCAGATGAGTGTGCAATGTTGCTGATGGACTGCAGAACTGGAACACATACTTCTTCTTCTTGAACACTTTGCAAAACCTACAAGAATACATTTGAAAGATTACTAAATGGTGTAGTTTCTTTTTTCATCCTATAGTAACATTACATTTTTCAACTCTTGATCAACTAAAATGTTTTAATTAAAACAATTTTAAATTAAGAATATTTTGGTTCATCACTTAAATAAAAAAAAAATTTCTAAAAGAAAAATGTAAAAAAATTTGTTATCTTGGCAGTTGTTTTTACATTAATTTAAAAAAAAAAAAAAGGATACTGACTTTAAGTAAACTTGGAACAGCTTGCTCTAAAATTTTTGAATACTGTGGATGTGTTGAAAGTTTCATGATGATTTCAGAACACAGTTTGATCACTGGAGTGTGAGATGACTTGAGTAAATGAATAAGAGCTGAGGCTCCATCTGACGACATAAACTGCTCCTAAAGTAGCAAAAGAAATTGTTTCTGTTTGAATTGTATGCTTCTCATTATAAATTATTGTAAATTCTGAACTCTTGTAATGCTGGTATTTGTCAAGATAAACCCCAAAGTTCTATAGATTCACAAAAGATTAAATAAATATCTATTGGCCTTAAAATAGTTTTACCTGCACTTCCTGTTGATCCAAAATGTTGAAAAGGGCATGGAATGCATGAATTTTAAAATTGTCTGGTATTGTAGATTTGGCCAACTTAACAACTGCTGTTATACCACTATTATCCAGAAAACTTTTCCAGCTGCTACTGCTAGTGAATAAATTTTCACATTTTTTAAGAATGGAACACATTATTAAGAAGGATAACATTTTGTTTGTTTTTATTGTCAAAAATAATAAGATGTAACAATATTACTGATTCAAATAAAGAACAAAATATTAAGCTTTTTTTAAAAAAAAGATGTAAATACTTTAACAAAATATTATGGACTTTCTATTTAATTAACAAAGAATTTATAATGATGACAAAAATAAATTAACCTCAAATTACTCTCTGCATTACTTCCAGTCATAAAATCTAAACATTTTCCAGCTGCCTCTACCTCTTCTTCAGAAGTTGATGACAAAAGTTTAAACAAATTCTTCCATACTGGTAGCTTAGGCAGAGCAAGGAGAGAGAGGTTCTGGAGTAGTGAATAATGTCCTTTCATCACTCCAATGTCAACGATACCATGGTTTAAAGTGTTCACAGCTTCAACCTAATCAAAATAACTTAAATTACAAAAATGTTTTTGTGGGCCTACAACTGCAGTATAATTTAAACTCTTTTTTTAAAGAGTAAATTACAATAAATGAATTTTGTTAGCATCTGTTATTTCCAATAAGTTAAAACAAATTAAGTAAACTTTTGGCAGAATAGAATATGATTACTATTATAAAATGTTACCTTAGCCCCTGCTCTAATCAAATACTGGACAATATCCTCCCTTCCCTCTCTAACAGCCAGCAGAATAGGTGTCTGCTTAAGGTTGTCATTGGTCTCTAATTCCAGAACACTTCCATCATTTTCTACCAATCTTTCTAGAGACATCAAATAGCCATCAGAAGCACATTGATGTACCTGGCTCCAGCCATTATCTTCTACATCAGTCATCTTTGTTTATTTGTCAGGGCATAACAAGCAATTCATATGGTAGTTATGTAGCATTTCACTGTTTAACTGTAATCCAAGTTTTTTACATTTTTAAAGTAGACTCCTGTGACTAAGTCATTGTGTCATGTTGTTTCTGTGAAATATTATTAAACAGAGTCTAAATTATAAGCATGATAAATTTTTAAAAAGTGAAGGTATTCATGATGTAGGCCATACCTATCCAGTTGTATGTAGATCCAGACCAGGGTTTCTTTCATTAGAAACTTCTTGGGGGGAGGGGGGCAACAACAACACATGTTATAGCAAACACAATATATGCTACACTACATATCCTACATAATATTTCTAGATATAAATATAAATAAAAAATTAGATCTAGATCTATACATTTTTACATTTTCTAGGACGCCAACAGGGGGAAAGGGTAGGGGCTGTCTAAATCCCCCCCCCCCCCCCCCAATATATGCCTAAAAGCCTAAGTGAAGTAAGAGTAAGACTCATTAAAGAAAATCATCCAGACTTAAGCTTTTGCTTAATAATATTATATAGATCTAGATGACTAGATAGGCTAGTGTTATGTACTATAATTATGTAGACTCTACAAATGAGTGTAGGGCAGTATGAGTTGTTGGCTTTTGTTTGATGAATTATTTTTTTTTGTTTGGGATCATCATTTATTTATCAAGTCAGCAGCAAGCGGGACATTTTTACCCACTGACCCACGCTGTACAGCCACGTGTATTTTTTTTTTATAAATCTAGATCTAGATTAGATCTAGGTCTAAGAAGAAATAGCAGGTTTGACTTTTTAAAATAGCGTTTTAAATAAGTTTTAATTGGCGGGTAAAACATCTTAAATCTAAAGAAATAGTAAAATGAGAACTGTAAAACGAAAGTCCACACTGTAAACTCAGATAAAATAACTCGGCTTCCACTTTTTTTTCGAATTTTAACATCTTAATTTATGACAATACTAGCGTACACGTCCCGCTCGTCGCTGTGGTCTGATACAATTTTTTAGAGGATTTCATCAATGATGTATTTTTAGACGTGTGACCTTGTTTTTTTTTTAACTCACTGATTTGAATATAAATAATACCAATAAACTTTTTTTTTTTAATATTAGCGGGTTTGTCCACGCTATCGCCCAGACGTCATAGAGCGTACTGCATGAAAGTATTGAATGTACGTACGTAAATCACCCTCCGTAAAAGTGAATTAGAACAGGGGCGTAGCGAGGGGGGGAGCGGGGGTGCGGACCGCACCGGGTGACACCATTTAGGGGGGTGACACCAAGGCAAAAAATAGCACAATATAGAGAAAAATGATAATTCCACTTAAAATAATTAAGTGATTAATTCGAGTGTTAAATAGTCTTTTAAGAGGTGCAAATCGAAAGTTTGAGGGGGGGGGGGTGTGCAAATCGAAAGTTTGAGGGGGGGTGCAAATAGAAAAATGAACGATTGTCCCCGGGAAGGGTCGCTAGGCCTCTGGGGGGAGGTGACACCATTAAGTGCCGCATCGGGTGACACCCGGCCTCGCTACGCCAATGAATTAGAACACACCTCGGTTTAGTGTGACGTCTGTGGCGCTTTAGGGAGCCACCATTTACAGTAACGTAGAGGCTCCAGGTACGGCCCCTGATTCGCTTCAATCATCGAATGTAGGCGCCATTGTGCTCAATGTTGAGCCTGGGTAGCTGCAGATCACCCGACCACCGCCGGAAGCCGGCGAACTCGCCTGATTCGATTTAATCAACGATTTTAGTAGCCGATCGTACCATAGTGTGTGGTACTCTTTTAAAAGACCGTAGGTGCCATAGTTCTCACAGTAGATCCCGGGTGCCAAATCGAACCTTGCCAGGGGTGCCGGACGACGAGCCTTATTCGATTTAGTAACCCATTGTATCCATAGTGTATCGCACTCTTTAAATCAAACGTAGGAGCCATAGGGCTCACGGGGAAAACGCGGGGCTATAAATCGCACCCTGCCGAGGCGTCGATTATCCGAAATTAGTTTTTGCTTTTTGCAGATGATCGGATGAAAGGTGAAGTAATGCATATATTACAAACCCACATACTTTCATTTTCATATAGACCTATACATATAAAGAGATTTAGATAGGATAGGTGTTATTTGTTGGTTGTTTTTTTTTTTTTTAATTTCCGACAGAAAAAAACTTTCTTTTTTTTTTTTGTTATTTGAAACTAGTAGCTACTAAGTATGACCTATTATTACCGCTAGAATTGGTAAAATTAAATTGCATTGCAAATCGTAGGCAGATATAGATCTTTTTAAAATTAAATCATGCACAATTAATTACGCAGCACATAATTTTAATACATATCCACATGACCGTTGTCGTTAGAGAAATATTCTAACACAACATTCTAACCGTTAGGCTCCAATGCCTTAAAAGACCTCCCAGGTCAGAACGTTTGTACAGGTGGCCTGGCTAAGACATGTGTGACGTTATTTTCTGTAACAAAATTAATTGCTAAGATGGCTTTGTTATATGAACATACTATACACACACACACACATATATATATATATATATATATATATATATATATATATATATATATATATATATATATATATCCTAATTTATAAAAGGCCATGTGCGCTCTTCTCTCTCTCTCTCTCTTTCTCTGTCCGCAAAAAATTTTCGCCGGACATCACGTCAGAATCGGCAGCGGTATATGGAGAACTTTTTACGGACTTTTGTTGAAAATAATATGTTAGATGTTTTAAATGTATAACCACAATTTTACTTAAAGAAGAAAAATAAAAATTAAAGGCGTATTCGAATGTAGAGAAACAGTATTATTTATGCAACCGGAAAAGCATTAATATATGTGAAAAAGAACGCATAAAACTGTGACGTCACTATTGCTTATACATTAACTAATGACGTCATCTGCCGTGTTAAGAATGAAAAGAAATGAACTATTTCATTCAAATTTGATTTAGATCTACGTACACTATGAAATGTATACAATACAATTTTTCCGGCCTAAACTCATAAAATTTATTTTATGTATTTGGATTCTAGATCTAGAGATTCTAGATCTAGACTAAATCTAAATCTAAATCTACGCAATAACTAGATCTAGACGTAGACGCTAAGATCTAGATTTAGACTCTAACTTCTCTAAAATCAATTCCAAAAATAAATTTCTATATTAGGACTAAACTATTTCAAGACTTATTTATTTTATACAAAATCTTTGTTTGGAACTGGCTAATTTGGGATAAAAAATTAATTTGAAAGAATAGGCATATTCGCGTAAGTTAAGATTTTAAAATACGTGTTTCATTCTCCGTATTTTATAAGGTGCCTAAATAGCGGAGATGTTAGTGTACATTAAACCACGCAGGTGGTGCGGGTTCGAGACACAGCAAGTCAACTTGGTTAATGTATTCTTTTTTATTATGCTCGGGCTAAACTTAAAAAAAAAATTCTTTTAGGAATCTAGATCTAGATCTAGATTGTCGGGTGTCCGATAGGGCACTTCCCGGCGCCGCAGGCGCTTCAAATTTGGCATGATCTTGCCTTGGTGCGACAGAACACGGGGGCCGGTTGGCCGAAAAGTCTACGATGTGGGGGTCAAAACTGACCTCGACTGACCGGTACCTTATATGAGCTATAAATCGAAAAAAAATGTCCACGGAGGAACCTCTTCATAACTCTTGAGGTCGTAGACCGACCTTCGGGCGAATTAATTAAGCATTCAAATTCTCAATGTTTTCGAAAGCCTAAGCGAAGCAGGGCAGCATGCCTAGTATATATATATATATATATATATATACATGTGTATACACGATTTTCAAGTATTACTTACCCTTTATGTATTTTTATCTAAATCTCTGTTGAAGTTTACAGCGGATGTTCATAAATCCAAAATACTTTTTTTTAAATGAGATCATAAATACAAGCCTAGCCTGTTATAAACATTCATGCCGTTCATTCGGTCTTTAATGCCCCTGCGGTTCACGAAGAGCCACAAACACACTTAAACGAAAATAAAAAGCTGTTCGATCATGCCTGTTAGATGTCAACATTTCTGAAGAGATTAAAAATAAGTTCGCCTTCTTTGAGGCCAATGGAAGGTCAAGTGTGAAAAGAAGTGCATACACAAAAGCCAACACTTTTACATTGAACAAAATAAAGGTCAAGTTTTATTTCACTGGTTTTTAAATCAGAGGTTGCTTTATAAAATAAATAAAAAAATCCACAGAAAGGTAATGGCCTCGACCTAACTGTATTGTATTTCTTTAGGTTGACACATGAACGCATACTGGCCTCTTCATTTTGCCCCTTCATGGCGAAACAAATCAATAAGCGTTCGATTTTTTATCGCGCCAAAATCACGCTGGCTTTTAACTCAGATATCGATCGATTGAATAGGGAAACATAAGGGGCTGATTGTGCATGAATAACGAGGCTCTTTCACGTTGTTGTTTTTTTTTTACCGACAAATAACTCGGCTATACTCTGGTGGCGCTTTTACACAGTCAGGCAAGGATTGGGATCTTTTTATAAAACTCGGGATTTTGTGACGTATAAAAGTTACTATGGGGGGGGGGGGGGGGGGGAAATAATGACTTAAATTATAGTGGGCTGTCCAAAAATGAGAACGCTTAACTGTAAGCATAGTTAGTTAATTTTTCTCCCATCTACCTTCTTCACACGTAAAAAAAAGCTATGAAAAATGTCGTGGTTTAAGCCTTAAACCACGACATTTTTTCATAGCATGCGGCTCTTTTGATATCAAGATGCGGCTCTCCAGCTCCTCGAACAAATATTAATAATCTTAATAAAAAAAATATTTGAAATAAAAAAATGTTAGTGGCTCTTTAAAACCAGGGAAATATTGAAAATTGTAACTTTTGGCTCTTCCGCTTCAAAAGGTTGCCGACCCCTGGTTTAAGGTGTACATCTAATATAGCCACCGTTAAGGGATTGTGTACACATTTTACAACACATTTTCTTTCGTTTGGACATAAACGGCCACCCCATAGGACGTTATATATAACAATTACTTAGACCACCCCCCCCATACACACACACCCACACGTACACACCAAAAAAGTATCTGACTATGAACCTACAAAAAGCTGCCATCGTTTAAAATAAATTGGAGACATCAGCCCATCAGGGTTTCTTCCTGACATTTGACCCCAGTGAGGTTACTTGAAACAATGGTTAAATGAGGCTATATATTTTCTATTTAATAACTTTTTTTTAAAAATCTCGTCCATGGAGACATCGGCCGTGCTTCGGGGGAGGTGGGAATAGATATGCTTGAAAAAACTGCACGTCATTTGATAGAAATTCCTTGTAATATCAGTACTGCATACTTTCACTTTATTGTTCCTACCATCCATTGATTGAACTACGAAGATGTCAATAGAGAAAAAGAGAAACGGTATCCATTGGACACTCGGGAACAAGCTGGGTGATCTGGGTTTGGCTGATGACCTGACCTTTCTTTCTCATTACACATATCAGCAATTTGAAAGATTAAACCAACATTGCTAATCAGTGGCGTCGCAAGATCGAGTGTCTTTTTTTTCTTGGTGTCACCCCCTAAATGGTGTCACCCGGTGCGTTCCGCACCCGCGCCTCCGAGTCCCAACGCCTCAGGTGCTAATTGTTCTCCATACCTAGGCCTGAACACCCACAGAGGGAAAAGCAAAGTCCTCAAAGTCAAAGCATCAAGCAGCACCCCTATAACATTGGCAGAAGAAGCCCTAGAAGAAGTAGATAGATTCACCAACACTTGAAGTATTGCTGATAAGCAACGAGGGACAGAAGCTTACATAAAAGGACGGCAAGGAAAAAGCAGTCTTCAACCAACTAAAAAGTGTTTGGGGTTCTGAAGTATAAAAAAACCTATTTTACTGTATTGAGCTAAGACAAGGAAAAATAACTGCCACAAATAAGAAAAAAAAATACAATAATTATAAACCCATGCCTCAGAAAGATCCTTCGAATGCGCTGGCCGAACACTACCTGAAATGTGTTACTATGGCAGCGAACAAAACAACTGCCAGCTGAAGAAGAGATCCTCAGGAGAAATTTGTGAATGAAATGACTACTCACGCAGGAAGCCAGCATAACAATACTGGTCCCCACATGGTAAAAGGAAAAGAGCCCGACTAAGGAAGACATTGAGATGTAACATGGAAAAAACACCAAGAAGATTGGATACACCTGGGGACAGTTGGAGAGATTAGCCCAAAACAGAGGTGACTGGAAAGCTCTTGTCAGCTATCTATGTCACAGTAGGGGCTACAGGTTAACCTGGTCTAACTTAGCTATGGTTATGTGTGAAACTTATATCCACATATAATTTGTCATCACATATAGTCAGTGTTTCTTCCAGACTTTTTTCTCCGGGGGGCACTTGATATTTTCGGAAGGGGGGGGGGGGCGCTCTGCTCCCCGGAAGAGATGCCTGGAAAAAACTCTGCACATAGTTATACATCAAAATCATAGCAAAAGACATTAATCCGAAAATAAAAGAATAAGCTATTAAAATTTCTCATAAATCAATAGGGTTAATCTAATTAACACACACAAAACACGCATTGAATAAAATTTGGCACAGCCGTCAGATAAGGAGATTCATAATATTTCGACCGTAATAAGAATAGTGGAAGCCTGCGTTGTGGCAATAATAACGCTATACACTTATGCCTAGGCCTACATTGGTATTTCGACACTCTAACGAGACAAAGATTAAAAATATGGCTATGTTAAGTATAGAACAGTCTAGCTAAGCAGGATCAAAATAACAATTGCCCCGCGTTTTATATACCCTTTATATATATATATATATATATATAAATATATATATATATATATATATATATATATATATATATATATATATATATATATATATGTGTGTGTGTGTGTGTGTGTGCGCGTGTGTGTGTGAGAGAGTGTGAATGTGTTTCTGTACATAGTTCTATATAATTGTTAATCCCTGAAAACAAACTCCTTCCTATGCCACTGAAGTCTAATTATTTTGGCATTAGTACGGGGTCCATTTGTCGCGGGCCTTTTTGATGATGTTAATTTGACGGGGATTTTGTTTTTTCGAGGCCGTTTTGACGGGAGCTTTTTGTCACGGGCCGTTTTGACGCAGCACGTTGACAAGGCCATACCCCCTGACACTTATACAACTGAACTCTCTGACGCTTATGTGATCTAAGCAATCCCGACTGAGATTATCGTGAAAGCTGAATGTCGAGACTAAAATATTAGGCCTGATAAATCATGCCGTGTGTAGATAAAGATAAAAATTATCTTTAATAAACGTCAAATATTTCTTTAAGTTGTAGCATCAAGTTTATCCAAAAAAAATGTGTCAATCTTACCTCAAGTGCTTATACTCGAGTTTAAACCGAAATAATAATTTCAAACTTTAAAAAAAAAATCGATTAAAGCATCAACAATCTTTCATGTGCACTAACCTTGGCTTTGAAGCATGAACGATACTAAATTTTCAAAATAAATAAATTATCATTTGAGAATGTTGTCGAGTCATTTTCAAATTACAGAACGAATGTAGGCTATAGCCCCTTCCGACACGGTGGTCATTTTTGTACACATGTCATAATTTGCATAAAACTTGACCGATGGAGATGAAATTTGGTATACGACGTCAGAACACCAACTATATCTTTTTTTATGCCTGGGATAATGTTTTAGACAAAAACCCTGAGGTCGTGTAGGAAGGGGATATAAAGCTATAGTCTATATTTATATGGCCCAAACTATATATATATATATATATATATATATATATATATATATATATATATATATATATATATATATATATATATACATACATACATACATACATAGATCTACATAAGCCACTTATACATTACCTACCTGAAACACCTACGTCCTACACTATGAACAAAAACAAACAAGTTTGCCTATTCGCTTAAGTTATCCAACTGACACAATCGATTTTTCTCGTTCTTTTATTTATCAACACACCACAGCGCTTGTCACCTTCGCTCGTCACTTATTAATAACCACATGTTTAAAATCACGACAATTTAATGAATATTTATTGATACTTTCGTGCGAATGTGTGTCGTCAGGATTTCATTAATACTATTACTGACGGCTTAAGGAAGCTAGCTTAGCCGAGAAGTCAACGGTTTTATAATAAGAGCTATTAATAATCATTAACAAAATATGAAATTTTCAAATTATTATTTATTATTAAACATTTTTTAAGCTAAAGAAGTGCAAAATGACTACATAAAGTGTAACGCAACGTGTCAGTAAGTCACCAATGATTCACAACAAACTATTAAAATCAATGAAACATAAAAATCCATACACTTTTGTGTAGCTTGGCGTTAAGCCTAAGCGAATTAATCTCCCACCGTTAGCTTTACATTTAATAGCGTCAATAGTGCAGCGTTGCTAGGAACGCGCGTACTAGGTGTAACGGTTCTGTCGCATGGTGTTTTAAAATATCATATTTGATTTTTAGTATTTTATTATTTAGTCTTACGGAGTTACATCGCTCCCCCCCCCCCCCCAAATTGTTATAATCTTGGTCTATTACTCTATATTGTGTTTTCTTCTTCAATAAATGATTCGTCTACTTTTAATTTTACAACCCCTTCATAAAAAAATAATAATAAACCAAGCGTTCGACTGCTAACCATAAAGACTCAAGTTGGTATCCAGGGCTTAGATCCGTACAGCGAAAAAAGTCTGCCGCCCACAGAGGCGTAGCGGCCCTTACCGGCGCCCGGGGACAAACTTTTCATTTGCACCCCCCCCTCAAACTTTCAATTTGGCGCCGCCCCCCCCCCCCCCCGAAAGGTCGGCGCCGGGGACATATGCCTCCCCCCGCTACGCCTGTGCCCCCCCCCCCCGAACCACATGGGATTTACATAGAAAATATATACTTTTAACAGTGTCCTCCCTTCCCCCCCCCCCCCCGTTGAAAAAGTCTGGAATAAACACTGGTTACCTGACACACGTAAGAGACGTTTTATATTCCTTTAAAATGGGGAGTGGAGGTATAAACCAGCTAATTTCCTTGAAAGACCCCTTAGTCCACGGGTTCCCAACCTGGGGGTCGCGACCCCCCTGGGGGTCGCAAAGGTCTTTCTGGGGGGTCGCCAACTGGTATACTAAACCTTAGTAATTTGAAACAAAACATAAATATTTAGAAGAATTTTTGAAATTCGGCTTCATTAACAATTTAACATCACTGGAAATGTAAAAGAGAAGGAACAAAGCGCACTGTACAAAGTTGTTCTCAGTCACGAATCTATGAAATCTTCAAAACACTAAAACGCCTTTTGAGACGAGTCATTCGGAACACACCAAAAAATATATGGAGTTCTTTCGTCGGTAAGAAGCTAGATGTAATTGCCAACGCCAGAGACTTGATCGAACAGGAAGTTTTCACCAGCATTAGTGCAAGCATCAAATGAAGTCGCGATAGAAAATGCCAAGCAAAAAAAATAAAAATAAAAAAAAAACAATAGGAGAAAATCTCATCAAAAGCTGTATGTACGTAAATGTTAAATAACACATTTTTATCGAAATTAAGCTTTCACCATTGCTTGCTTTTCAAGTTGATAGATCAACAGACGTGAGTTCGTGTTCACAGTTGCTGGTCTGTGTCTATATTCATGCGGATGATAGCAAAGAAGAGTTGCTCTTTTGTAAAGATAGCATGGAGAAAATAAATACCTTTTTTTTTAAAACTGAATGATTAAAATGGGTTAGAACGGCTGTGGGGGTTTGTACGGATGGTGCACCATCTATGTTTAGCTCAAAATCGGGCTTTCAGAAAACAGAAAAGATTTAGCTCCCTAACCAATCGACATCAAGAGTCCATTGCTAGTATAAGTCGTAAATTATATAAAATCTGGAGCCTTCAAAGAACTGAGCAAAAGCATTAATATAGATCACGAGGTTCTGCTCTTCTACACTACAGTACGCTGGCTGTCAAACGAAATGTTGTAAATTGTGTTTTTTTAAATTGAAATCTGAAATCAAATTGTTCTTGGAAATTCAAAGGAAACAAAACTTTTTGGTATACTTAAAACGACATAGAGTGGTTGGAGAGAGTATCTTACCTAGCAGATGTGTTCGAACATCAAGATAAGCTTTACCTGAAGATTCAGGGAAAATGAACGAATATTATAACTTTCCATGATAATCTCGGGGCATTTTTATCAAAGCTGCAAAATCGGTAAAGAAAATAAATCTTGGAAATATTGTAAATTTGAGAAACTCTGCGGTGTGGTAGATGAATCTGATTGTGAGATAACTAAAATTTTAAAAGAAGCGATTTCTGGGCATCTTGAATCTCTTGAAAACGAACTGCATCGCTATTTCTCTTAGCTGAAAAAGAATGTGCATTTACGCATTACTCATTCTCTTCTTCCCTTGATGTTGCCGGCATTCCCGATGAATTACAAGATGAATTCTTTGATTTGCAGAATGATTCCGAGTAAGATGAGAAACTGCACACACAATTTTGGTGTAGTATTCACCATTCATACCCAAACGTAAAATTGATTGACTTTTCGAGAATATATTTTCAACACTATTTTTCGATTAAAAACAAAATTAAGATAATTATAATGACATAGGTTGGCGTTAACAAATTTTTTTTAAAATTAAAAACTTAACCACGAAGGTTTAGTGAATAGTATGCAATTTTACTCATGCTATTAAAATAGTTATCAAGAGTAGTTCATATTGAAAGTCAACTAGAAAACCTTATTTTAGTGCTTATTAATTTCATACTAATTTCGGCTTTTTAATTCTTCGAGGGTCGCGGGTCACTTACTTTTTATAAAAGGGGGTCGCCACCCGAAAAAGGTTGGGAACCACTGCCTTAGTCCGACATAGTCTCGCATAGTGTACTCACTCATGTTTGAGCGTGTTTTGTCTCTTTCGATGTTTTGTTTCTATTGTAAAGCTTGAAACGGGAAAAGCCGGCACATTTACTCTATTCACACACACATATATATTATATATACATATATATACATATATATATATATATATATACATATATATATATATATATATATTCGTTCAGGGGAGGGTTGGACTTGCAATAAGGCACTTGATATTTTCGGGGGAGCGGACTAAATTTTCCGGGGGGACGGGGACTGTTAAAAGTATGTTTTCTATATAAGTTTCATTTCGTTCGGGGGAGCGGTAGACTTTCTTCGGGGGGGGGGGGGGGAAGAAACACTGGAAATGGCGCTCATTTGTTGATGCCTCGTGCGTTGAGATGATGATAATAGCAGCATGTATTTAATTATTTAACGTTTGTGATATTGATGAGTAGTTTTAATTAAGATCAATAACCTTGTTTTTTAAATACAATTTTGTTAATTCGTTTGCATTGAACGAATTGCAAGCAAGTTTTGTCGTTTATTATTTTTGAGTAGTAGTAATTATTTAAAAGATATTTCCTTCCTGACAACTTACCCATCCTTAATTAACCACACAGACCCAAGGGAAATAACTGCTATATTTGTACGATTTTCATGCCAACTTTAATTTTGAGGAAAAATAGAAGAGTAATAAATTGTATATGGCTTAATACATCTTAATAGTTTAACACCAATGCACGATATTGTTCAACTTCTAGGGCACATTTAGACAAAAGAATTTTTTTACAAAATGCCAATTCAAAATACTTTCATTATTAATTTAATGGTTTAAGTAAAATACTAGATAAAATTTTGATCACTTTAGTAAAACAAAAGAAACAGTTAAAACTTGTGTGAGAAAAACATTTCATATGCCAAACACTATCTAAAAAGTCCACACTGATGTGACATAATAAACTTGAAGATGAACGCTGCTGATATTATTTTTTTTAGCTGTTTCTTTTGTCTTTAATTTGATTTGATCATGAAAATTTGCACCAAGTAAAATAGTGTAGACACTATCAATAAATACATCAAGTTCTATGTATGGCATACATTCTGAGAAGTACTGGTTTTTTTAAAACTATTTTATTGTCAAATAGAAGTGTAGCTCAAATGCTACAAAAAAGCTGTTCAAACATTTTCAAACTCTGTTTCAGGAGAGCAAACTTATTGGATGAGAACCAATAGGTAGTCTCAGGACTCACACTGCAAGTGCAAAGATTCCAAAGATGTATTTGTTTGACATAGTACAACAGCATACTAGGAATATTTCTGATTATGTGATACTTTTAACACAAGGCTTTAAATTTTGCATTAATTTTGCCAACTTTAATATACAGGTAATGTATGCTTTTTAAAGTTAAATTTTAAAGAAATTCAATAAATTATCAATAAGTAATACCTAAATTAAAATAAAAATATAGATCATGATAATGAAACGTGAGAGATATATGATCGCAACATCAATAGATAGAATAAAAAATTTTTCAAGAAGTGACAATGACTTACTAACATGCATTATTATGAATACAGTATTTAAGAAAAGTATGGAGAGTAAGGTATACATAAATTTAGTATGTACAGTAAACTATGTAAACAGTATAATGCAACAATGTTACCACAGATATTCCAAAGACATAATAGAACAACTTGAAAAGGTGTGTAAAATACTAAATAAATGCTATTTAGGTAATCATGAAGTGGAGAGTTGATTTGTTTTATAAAGTTTGGATAAAGAAATGGATCTAGAATTTTAATTTACCGGTATCAGATCATTTTGTAAGTACACCATGGCAGGACAAAGTAATCAGATCTAAACTTATGGACGGATGCTGACTAATATAACATTATCTTTTTCTAGGGGGTAATTTATCATTTTCAGTTTCTTCTTCTTCCTCAGAATCATCTTCATCATCGTCGTCATCATCATCGTCATCATCTTCATCATCATCACTGTCATCTTGTAAATTCTGCAAACAATAATTAAATTGAGTAAACAAGCAGTTTAATTATTTATAAGCAATTCATTCCTGCTTTGATAAAAAATAAAATAAGCTACTAATTCTATTAATCATCAACACACCTCATCTAGGAATGTGGTTTTAATAATTTATAACTTAAGTTGTATTCATAACTGGATATTGTGGAGTAGAGCTAATAGAGACCGCCTAGTCAAAACAAAAACTTCATACACTATTTTTTTAAAATCTTAGACTTGTGTACAATTTACATTGCATTTTTAAAAAAATCAACTAGGGAGATATGGCTATTTATATTCATTAAATATGTTCATTATATAGTCCTATCCCTTTAGTCTATTGTCTATGAAATTTTTTTTTTAACCAGTAAAATAAAAAAAATGGAACTACATTTAGTTTCGGTATGAAGGCTAGATCATCAGATGAGATAAAGAAAGTAAGAAAATTTATTTTGCTTATAAGTTATATTTGCTAATCAAGCACTAGTACAGCTGTGTTAAAACTATTCTCTATCTAACTCAACTGTTAAATGTAACGTGCACAACTATTCGTTTGATAGATGGGCTCTTTGAACAGTTGTCTTGCATGTCTGGGCAGAGTTGACTATTACAACAGAATAGTGAGTAAACTGCAAACCTGTGGCGGAGTAATTTTTTTCCTTGTATCAACTGGAGTATTTTCCTTCGGGGCGGCAGGTTTTCTTGGCGTTGTGCTGCCTGCTGAGCTTTGCCTTGAATCAAGTGAAGCCTGTGATGCTGATCTGGCTATGTCAGACCGGATGGACCCTTTTGGCCTTAGTTGGTGCCTGAATTCCTTTAAAAATATGAGCAAGAATAACAATAATAATTCCCACCTCAATAAAACAAAAATGATGGATGCTTAATGGTAACTTTGCTAGATAATACCTCTAAGTCAGCCTCGGGATCAATGCTGTCCAATGTCTGAAAACACTGAGTATACAGCTCCAGTGCCTTGGCATGAAAATGCATTTCAATCGTCACAAATTCTCTAAATATTTTCTGAAAAGTAGTGCACCAGGCTTACACTTAGATAAAAGTTTACAAATCACAGCAGGTTATTTATATTTTTCATGAACAAGTAGTGTGATAATTTAAAAACAACATCTATTTATTAAATTCAGTAAAAAGTATAAATACTCTAATTGTATATTCATATATTTATGGCTTGAATTTTTATTTTTTAAATTTTAATAGGTTAAACTTGAAATGCTCTGTACCTTCAAATCTTTCAGTTTTTTCTCCTCAAATTTGTCTATTTGTTGTTCCAAATTCTTGCTACTCCTTGTGGCCTCAAGGCTGGCTTTTTGTAGAGAGTTCTCAAGCTGACAAAATACAGACATTAAAACATGATCAATGATGAGATACAATGTTGTTTCTCCATGAACAAAACTATTGAAACTACCTTTCTTCAGAAAGTAAAAATATAAAGTTATATCAGAATAAAGAAATAATTCTCAACTATAATTAAAAAAAAAAGAGTTGCATTTAATTTTTAAGTTATTATCAAATACACTGTTGCTCTGAGTTCTCAGAAGTCTTTTTGTTCAACAAAATGTATACCTGGCTCTGAGAAAAAAGTTAAGGAACAATTAATAATTTGTTTTTTTTTAACTACAAACACTTTTTTTTTAAATTATTATTTTAAATGTATTAAATCATCAACGAAATATTTGGAGTTCAACCACATTATGCAGAGATTTCTGAAAATACTTCAACACTAAAAAATCTGCTTGAAAGCCAAACATTAAATTATTTTGTTCTATCATAAATCAAACTGACACAATGAAAGAAAAACATTTAAATCCCAAATTTTACACCAGAAAAAGGATACTATCTTTTGTCGGTCTGATGGGTGTTTACTCCTGGTCATGTCAAGCTTTTTCTTTTGGCTGATCTCTAAATCAATGGCAGCAAATGATGATTTTATATCATTCTGTAAATAGGTTAATGAGTGTTGCTGTTAAATTCAGGCAGGTAGTTAAATTTCTGTTAAATTCAGGAAGTTGGTTAGTATAAGTATGTTGTTGAACAGGAGTATAACTAAACACATGACAGTAATAAATAGTAAAAATATGTACAGTGAAACTGGTTCAACTGTATAAATAACACAACATTTACTAGAATAAATTATAAATGTTACCTTTGTTTGTTTACAAAGCAAACCATAATTCATTAGTGGTGTGATTATCTTCCCTTCTAGCCTTTTCACCTAATAAAAACAAAACATTGACAGAATTCTTGAAAGAGCTGTTCTTAATTCTGTTAAACAACTAATAATATTTTTAAAGCATGATTTCAGCTTCAACTTAAATTAAAATACCTCCCTCTTCTCCATTCATAGTTGTATGTTTACGTGAAAAAAAAAATTCATTTGTAAACCTTTCCAAGGTAAAAAAAAAAACACTACATAATTATGAAAGACATAGTTTGTAAAAATGATAACATTTTTATGCTCAGCAAGCCTATAGCAGCTAAAGCATGCTAAAAGTACCATGAGGCAGGTGAAGTAGAGTTCACCTGATTATGTAACCTTGGTATATGAAGCAATAGTGTGGACCTTGCTTTCCCTAATGTGATTCAGGTACCCATCAAAGCTTGGTGGTCAGGGACATCCTGCTGACCCAAGTCTAGGATTAGAACTCTACCATTTGACCAAGCCATCCAATAAAACATGCTAAGAATATCAACTAAAGATCTCATCACTCTAACACAGACCCAGGTAATGAAGTGTATCTTCTATCCTAAATACATGCTATTATTACACACACATTTTTTTACAAGCAATAATATAAGCAATTGTTAGCAATGATTCATTAAAAAATAATTAGTGAGAAAAAACCTGAATAGACAAGTATAGATTAATAAATATAAACAGAATTCAAATCCTTACTTCTGCTTCTCGATAGTCTTGCACTGCTGATAGACTTTCTGCAAATTTGGACATGCCAGTGCTCAGGGTGGGATTCCATTTTTCAAACTCAGAGAACTGCATTAACTCTTTAGCCATTAAATCACCTGCAAGAGGAAACAAATGATTAAATAACCCATATCAGGCTATTCCTATGATTTATGCTGGCTGAAACAAGAGAAAAATTGTGGTATTTTTTTAATTAATGTAGCTGGTATTGATTATAGCATGTTGAGCGTTAGCTTCTCAATATCATAGAATAATAAATGGAACATTAATATTTATATTGAACAAGTAAAAATGAATTTAAAAAAAAGTAAATAAAAAACACTAAGAGAAAATGAACAGGGCATATATAAAAAAAATATAAACTACTTTTTAAAATTACCACAACATTTTATCTACTAGTTACAGCTGTTTGTTTTACTTGCAAATTACTTTCACACTAAACTAATCATTTTAAGAAGGTATGCAAGTAATTATAAAAAATAAATTGTTACACATTGCCCCACTTAAAAAAAAATTTCAGCATGTATTTTTATATCCCAGTAAAAATCAGTTTATTAATTGTTGGATTAAAGGCATTGCATTTCCTTTTTACATCAAAATCAAAATTTCAGATTGAGCATAAAAAATTAATGACGGGATTGTAAAAAGGCAATTTTTAACCCAAAAACTAACAATCAAATAACCAAATAATGCCAAATAATATAATGACCTTTGTCTCGAAGTCTTGCAGTTTTACGTGTGTATGATGAAGCAATATCGCATAGTTGACCAAGGTGTTCCTCAATGTGTGTAATACGATCATTTACTACTTTTGACTGGTTTTCACTGTAAAAAAAATAGAAACAATTATTCAGCCAATACATATAGTTAATGAAAAAGTATCTTTTAAAATCAGTTTATTTCTTATTAATATATTTATTTTTAAATATATTTCTTTTTAAGGAGAAAGCTTGTTTATATTATTGTTTTGAGTTTATTATTTAACTCATGCAACTAGCTCACTAGTTGGTTGAGGCCAAGCTGGGGCTCGTTCGGCCAGGCAATCAATGGTGGGTCAATGCTAAAGTAAATATAATTATACAATATTATGAATAAGGCAGTACAGGGGCTAACCGACTGAAAGGACATTGTTTATATTATAGTTCTGAGTTTATATTTAACTCAATGCAACAAACCTGCCAGTTGGTTGAGGCCAGGCCGGGGGGGACGTACTGACCGGGATTAAAAATCAAAGGGACGACTCGAAATATTGTCCGAGATTAGTTTGTACTAGATCTAGTATTAATTTAGTTAAGTTAGTATTAGGCCTATTACTTATACTCTAGATTTATCGAAACTTAATAGGGGCCCTAAGCCTAAATACTAAATAAAATAAAAATTATCAGGCCCTAATAGTAATTTTATTAGGCCTAATTTTAAACTAATTTATATTTAATTATTAAATCAACAGTAGTCATGAGACCTAAAAATTTAAAAATTCGTGTTGTAGCTTGTGAATTTGAAATATGTGTCGAGCAAACGAGTCCCAATCAGACATCTAATTAAGTAATTGAACCACCATCGTTTAATGATGTCAGTGTTCAGTAGCACATATGGGTATGTATAAAGTATATTCTTAGATCTAATAATCCCATAAATATCATCATTTATTTAGATCTAGATCTAGATACAAACCTTCGATGAATTTCTGCTCCAGATCGACTCATTTTCGTTTTGTTTACAATGGAATCCACTTCGCAGTCCTCAGCAGTTTAAAAACAAAAATGTTTGTCTATTTAAAAACAAAATGACGGCGCCAGATGACAGTATCACTATCACTAGATCAACTTTTCTAAATCAGCTAAAAAGAATAAAACCTGTGACAATACTTTTCGATTATCAAGTTGGAACACACTATTAGATCAATCTATAGATAAAAGTTGAGTAAGTATTAACTAGATCTAGATCTAGAGATCTAGATCTAGAATCTAGTAGTACAGTCTCAGTCAGGTCACAGTCTGAGTACTCTGACACTGACAGACTAGACGTCACTAGAGAGTAGAGACTCTGAGTCTGTGACCCGACTTGTCTCACTCAGCCCAGCAGTCTCAGACTACTCTGAGCCTGACTGTCAGACTGTAAATAAATTACAAAAAGAAGGTCAAGCAGCTACATAAGGCTAAGTAGTAGCTTGCTAGATCTAGCACTAGTCACTAGTCTAACACTACAGATTACTGACACAAGTTACTTGAGTGAGTCTACTACTAGACTGCACTACTGGTAGGTAGGTAGATCTAGTACTGCAGCTAGACACTACACCAGCAGAGAAGCTAGATCAGCTGGAAATTGAGATCTAGATCTAAATAATAGTGTAATAATTATTAATTGGCCGATTCTAGCTGGAATAAGATACGCATGCGATATGCATGCGCAATGGAGAGAAACTACGACTTGCCTTAGCTGCGATGTTTTCGATGGTACTGCGCATGCGTGTGTTTACAACCGCAGAACCCTAACACCAACCCTAATCCTATCCTTAACCCTATCCCTAATCCTATCCCTAACCCTATCTCTAATCCTATCCCTAACCCTAGCCTTAATCCTATCCCTAATCCTACCCCTAACCCTCATTCTAGCCCTAACCCTAGCCATAGGTCACTGCGCATGCGCAGAGCTATCTTTTGCCGACTAAGTGGAGACATTGGCGAGAAAAATCTTCTTCCGAGTAGACACTTCGTTATTAATTAGCCTACTGAAAATCCAAAGGAAAAGACACACAAAGCAACCAGTCTGAAAATCCTTGTTCCTTACTATAATTTTTTAAATGTTTTATGGGGTTAATCTACGTTGCTTGAGATTAATTATAATTAAGTAGTCCATAAATGTAGTCCACGGGTCGGAGTGTTGGGTTGGGTAAGTACATGGCTGGTAACCGAAAGTCTAGAGTTCGCACCCTCAGGCAAATGAGGCTTGTCAGCTGTATACAGGTAACACCCTTTCACTTTCAGCTGTGTGGAGAGAAGGGCCTGAAACATGGGCAACATCTGGCTCTTCTCCGCTTAGGGCCCAGGCTTTGTGTTTGGATTTCCAAAGCGCATTCATCCATTGGTCTATTAGACTTAGGCTATAGAGCCATTAACCTAGATATAAGTTGTTAGATACCATAGTATATAAAATGTATTAATTGTACAGAAATCTTATTTTTCTATAAGTCATAAGTAATCAGTCTTAAGAATTTTATAACAATGCAGTTATTTTATCTGCAAAGGAGTTTTGATTAATAAAAGCACTTAAATAAAACAGTAGCGTAGCGAGGGGGGCGGGGGGGGGGGGGGACATATGTCCCCGGGCGCCGACCTTAGGGGGCGCCAAAATGGGTTGGAAAAATAAATTGAAAGGTTGAGGGGGGTGCAAATCAAAAGTTTGTCCCCGGGCGCCGGGAAGGGTGGCTATGCCTCTGAAATAAAAAGAGTGCTTTTCATACCACCAAATTCAGTTGTTATTGGTAAAATACAATCTTTTTTAATAACTCTGTATTAAAATAATAGCACTGGAATATTTTTTTGAATAAAAAAGAAATTATTAGACTACCAGTAGAAAATTATTAATAAGGCCATTGTTACCTATTAATATGAACCATAACACTAACACATCATAACTTGTGTTAGCTATTTATTTCCTACATACAAGGGAAAAAGAAAGCAAACCTTAAGCTCTAACTACTCTCAAATAACTACGAATTTAAAATTACTGTATAGGCATACATGTTTTAACAATTACTATAAAGTATCTTGTTAGTTCTGACTTGTTTTTAGCTTTGACTTCAGCAATTGAAAAGATTGAGTAGTCATCATTTATGTGCAATTACTTTTATATATGCTAGCTTTAGTCAGATACTTAAAAGAGCTGAGTGAAGTCTTGGATTTCTTATGGTCTTGCACATGGTTAGAGAATTCAAGACCATGCCGTCTTAAATAAGTCGTCTGGACTCTGCCATTTTGTCGGCATCCTTTGAAAAGTTATATCATCCATCAAACTGAATTTTGTCTAGATTAGAAACGTTAATTTTATTTTTGTTGTTGTATGACATGTATTAAAATCTAATTATAGAATAGCCTTTCACTTTTCACATAATTGATTACGCTATTTAACACTATTTAAAATAAGATTATAAGTTATAAAACTTACTTTGTTGAGGCCTAACTGAAAATATTTTTTAAATTAAAATCTAGAGCAAGTAACAATGAGAAGATCATTTCGCACACCCATACAAAAACTTCCTTTGGACAAGTCTCAGAAATCTGCTAGTAAATCTTTTGTTATACCACCAGACCAGACAGAAATGGAAACTCCGAGAACTAATGTAAGTAACATTCAGCTTCACTTTTAATCTGTTAATGAGAAGGGTGCCTAAAGTTTAGATACAAAGCTGTTTAGTAATGAATTGGCCAACTTATAAAAACATGTATCAAGCAGATATAACTTTATGCATTCATTGCTAAACAGCCTCATATCTAAACTTTAGATTCAGTGTTTATTTACAAAAAAATGTGTAATCTCTGTCATTTATTGAATAGAATTGTAATTGTTCAAATTTATTTATTAAATATGTTGCTAAGTCTGTATTTATTAAAATATTTTTAACCATAAAACTTGTCAGTCCAGATTTTTTCAGGGAAGTCACTTATATATATATATATATATATATATATATATTGTTTATGACGGACACTTAGTGGGATAATCAGTTAGGTCATTTGAAACTTAATTGATTAGCTTAGCTAAAATGTCTAACAATTCTTAATTTCTTATTAATATTTAAAATATGTTGATTTTATAAAATAATTTTTAAAATTATAACATTATAAATAATGAAACTAACTTTCAGTGGTATTATGCATTGGCTGAAATTATGTAATTAATTGTATTTCAAGAACAAAACATTTGTTTTTCCAGATTGAAGGACTTCTCTCTGTTGCTGAGACTGAATCAAAAGTAACCAGATCTTCTCAGAAACCTGGTAGAAGAACATCAGAAAGATCTAGCATAAACAAAACGTTCAAATCACCAAGTTTATCTAAAGTCATTGCAAAGAGGAAGTCTCTCTCTAGCAACACTAACACATCATCACCAGGCAGCAAACTTACACCTCGCACAAATATTTGGAATCTATTAATGAACTCTGGTAATTTTGTTTTCAAATTTAAATATCTTTTCTTTGTGTATCTGTTGGTCTTGGCTTTGGATTCTCAGCCATGCAATTATTCAATAAGTGTTGTACAGCTTAATACGTACTTAAATTTTTGATATTGCTGGTCAATAAAAATAACAAATATAACACATCAATTTAATATATCAGTGTATTGCTTACTCATTTGTAAATTAGCTTGTAGTATATAATGAAGAAATATATTAATACTCATGATTTCCTAATACAACATTAATGACTTTTAACATATTAACTGTTAGATGGTTGGTACATCTTTATCTGCTTTCTATTTTTACGAAGATAAAGAACAGACCCCAGTAAATGGACGAGGAGATATTGAACCTGTTCAATTTAGCGGATCTCATGTTTCAACAGTGGAGTTTGGAAACTGGGGCCAGCAAGTTACCCTATCACCTTTGAATATTTCTCCTTCAAGGTAATTATTGGCTTATTTTTAAAATTATTTTCTTACTTTTTAAAAATATTAATCTTGTATGTTCAAGCATTGAAAAGTAATATTTTATTATCTAATACATTTGTGATTTCATTATTTAAAAAATTTGATTAAATAGCATGCTTTAATTTATTTAGGACATTGACGTGCATAGTAACATTTTATTACAGTCTTAATCTTGGAATGTCTAGTCTTGATTTATTTTTCAACATAAATGCTCCTTATTCTCAATGGTTTTATCAATTATTTTTTTGTACACAAAATTATTTTTTTGTTGAAGCGTAGATCGAAATCGCTGCATTAGAAATGGATCAAATCAGTCGCTCATACAATGTAGCTCCGATCTCTTAATATCAGTACGCATTATCGCGTTCGGCTTGTTTTAAAGGGAGGCTAGCACAAATGTAAACGATCAACAAAGGGAAGCAACCTTTGCTGCCAGTTTAATTCCAAACCATTTGAACTGTATGTCGCAGTAATAATTCTTTTAAAAGGATTTGCGCTTTATCAAAGTTTGACAAAATTTCTGTAGTACATAATTGCAGACAAATCGAATACCATCACTTGGAGGGATGTATTTGATTCGATAAAAGAGTGAACCATTCAGAAAACGAAACACCATAACATTCTTGCGATGGCCGCTGAAAGTGGTGAATCGGCCGCTTATTCAAGCATACTTACCTGGCACAGGAGGCACCTTGATCAGCAAGGAGGTCCTCCCAGGGCGAGGCCTGCACATTGCACTTCGTGTGGGTTGACCCCTGCGATCACCCCAAATGTGGGTGACTCGGGTGCGTAATTTTTTCGTAGGGGGGACTGCGTTCGCGCTATCCCCTGTAACAAATGAAATGTAAAGATCGGTAGCCTCTCATTGTCTCGAAGCATGTTCCTGGTCACGATGGTACATCGTCCCATTATGGCTAGAAATGTATTTCGAAGGCTCCAACCCTTAACCCCACATGGTATACACACGCTTTTTGAAATTTTTAACGCTACCTAAAAATCATTTCAAGTGTACGCTAGAAACGCTAGAAGTAAGGTAGAAATACTAGAAAACCAAGCTGGCTAAAATTCAGTCCAGTCCAATGCCAGTGTTGTATTGGGAAAGTCCTACATGAATACCAGTGACAGTCTGTATAGAACTTCAAATTTAAGTCATCCTTTTCTTGTTACTGGCTCCAAATGTACTTTTCGTCTCTACTCATGAAAACTCTTACACCTTTGAGCGCCCAACGCTTTTACTGAATGGAAAAAGTTGGCTTGATTTTCTAACTTTACCTGCATTTAAAAGCGTACTGTTATTACAAAGGTGTATTTATTATTTATTTTGTTTTTTTGTTTTTTTTAAAATTCTACGTTTATTTAAAGTAGGTACTTTTCTTTTGCAAAGACACAAATAGGTAGCTTAAATTTAAAAATAAAACAATAAAGTAACCTACTTTATTTTTTCCCACCCCGAGTTGAGCATTATTGAGTCAACTTTCCTCGTGACTTTAAGACATAGCCAGTTAACTCTTTTAACGACGCTGATATTCAGTTATGAAAAGCATTCAACATGAGTATTATGTGCCCCTTCTTAAGATGTCTCGTCTAAAATGTTTGTAAACATCAGTCGTGAACTCCATATCACCTGGCTGATCGTGATATTAACTCTGTTTTGTTATTGAAACTTGTACTTTTTAACATGAATTTGTAATGACGAATTGAAGATCTCCTTAGATACAAAATGAGATCTCGTTGCCTTGTCATCGGAAATGAACTTTTCTTGAAGCGTAGATCGAAATCGCTGCATTAGAAACGGATCAAATCAGTCGCTCATACAATGTAGCTCCGATCTCTTAATATCAGTACGCATTATCGCGTTCGGCTTGTTTTAAAGGGAGGCTAGCACAAATGTAAACGATCAACAAAGGGAAGCAACCTTTGCTGCCAGTTTAATTCCAAACCATTTGAACTGTATGTCGCAGTAATAATTCTTTTAAAAGGATTTGCGCTTTATCAAAGTTTGACAAAATTTCTGTAGTACATAATTGCAGACAAATCGAATACCATCACTTGGAGGGATGTATTTGATTCGATAAAAGAGTGAACCATTCAGAAAACGAAACACCATAACATTCTTGCGATGGCCGCTGAAAGTGGTGAATCGGCCGCTTATTCAAGCATACTTACCTGGCACAGGAGGCACCTTGATCAGCAAGGAGGTCCTCCCAGGGCGAGGCCTGCACATTGCACTTCGTGTGGGTTGACCCCTGCGATCACCCCAAATGTGGGTGACTCGGGTGCGTAATTTTTTCGTAGGGGGGACTGCGTTCGCGCTATCCCCTGTAACAAATGAAATGTAAAGATCGGTAGCCTCTCATTGCCTCGAAGCATGTTCCTGGTCACGATGGTACATCGTCCCATTATGGCTAGAAATGTATTTCGAAGGCTCCAACCCTTAACCCCACATGGTATACACACGCTTTTTGAAATTTTTAACGCTACCTAAAAATCATTTCAAGTGTACGCTAGAAGTAAGGTAGAAATACTAGAAAACCAAGCTGGCTAAAATTCAGTCCAGTCCAATGCCAGTGTTGTATTGGGAAAGTCCTACATGAATACCAGTGACAGTCTGTATAGAACTTCAAATTTAAGTCATCCTTTTCTTGTTACTGGCTCCAAATGTACTTTTCGTCTCTACTCATGAAAACTCTTACACCTTTGAGCGCCCAACGCTTTTACTGAATGGAAAAAGTTGGCTTGATTTTCTAACTTTACCTGCATTTAAAAGCGTACTGTTATTACAAAGGTGTATTTATTATTTATTTTGTTTTTTTGTTTTTTTTAAAATTCTACGTTTATTTAAAGTAGGTACTTTTCTTTTGCAAAGACACAAATAGGTAGCTTAAATTTAAAAATAAAACAATAAAGTAACCTACTTTATTTTTTCCCACCCCGAGTTGAGCATTATTGAGTCAACTTTCCTCGTGACTTTAAGACATAGCCAGTTAACTCTTTTAACGACGCTGATATTCAGTTATGAAAAGCATTCAACATGAGTATTATGTGCCCCTTCTTAAGATGTCTCGTCTAAAATGTTTGTAAACATCAGTCGTGAACTCCATATCACCTGGCTGATCGTGATATTAACTCTGTTTTGTTATTGAAACTTGTACTTTTTAACATGAATTTGTAATGACGAATTGAAGATCTCCTTAGATACAAAATGAGATCTCGTTGCCTTGTCATCGGAAATGAACTTTTCTTGAAGCGTAGATCGAAATCGCTGCATTAGAAACGGATCAAATCAGTCGCTCATACAATGTAGCTCCGATCTCTTAATATCAGTACGCATTATCGCGTTCGGCTTGTTTTAAAGGGAGGCTAGCACAAATGTAAACGATCAACAAAGGGAAGCAACCTTTGCTGCCAGTTTAATTCCAAACCATTTGAACTGTATGTCGCAGTAATAATTCTTTTAAAAGGATTTGCGCTTTATCAAAGTTTGACAAAATTTCTGTAGTACATAATTGCAGACAAATCGAATACCATCACTTGGAGGGATGTATTTGATTCGATAAAAGAGTGAACCATTCAGAAAACGAAACACCATAACATTCTTGCGATGGCCGCTGAAAGTGGTGAATCGGCCGCTTATTCAAGCATACTTACCTGGCACAGGAGGCACCTTGATCAGCAAGGAGGTCCTCCCAGGGCGAGGCCTGCACATTGCACTTCGTGTGGGTTGACCCCTGCGATCACCCCAAATGTGGGTGACTCGGGTGCGTAATTTTTTCGTAGGGGGGACTGCGTTCGCGCTATCCCCTGTAACAAATGAAATGTAAAGATCGGTAGCCTCTCATTGCCTCGAAGCATGTTCCTGGTCACGATGGTACATCGTCCCATTATGGCTAGAAATGTATTTCGAAGGCTCCAACCCTTAACCCCACATGGTATACACACGCTTTTTGAAATTTTTAACGCTACCTAAAAATCATTTCAAGTGTACGCTAGAAGTAAGGTAGAAATACTAGAAAACCAAGCTGGCTAAAATTCAGTCCAGTCCAATGCCAGTGTTGTATTGGGAAAGTCCTACATGAATACCAGTGACAGTCTGTATAGAACTTCAAATTTAAGTCATCCTTTTCTTGTTACTGGCTCCAAATGTACTTTTCGTCTCTACTCATGAAAACTCTTACACCTTTGAGCGCCCAACGCTTTTACTGAATGGAAAAAGTTGGCTTGATTTTCTAACTTTACCTGCATTTAAAAGCGTACTGTTATTACAAAGGTGTATTTATTATTTATTTTGTTTTTTTGTTTTTTTTTTAATTCTACGTTTATTTAAAGTAGGTACTTTTCTTTTGCAAAGACACAAATAGGTAGCTTAAATTTAAAAATAAAACAATAAAGTAACCTACTTTATTTTTTCCCACCCCGAGTTGAGCATTATTGAGTCAACTTTCCTCGTGACTTTAAGACATAGCCAGTTAACTCTTTTAACGACGCTGATATTCAGTTATGAAAAGCATTCAACATGAGTATTATGTGCCCCTTCTTAAGATGTCTCGTCTAAAATGTTTGTAAACATCAGTCGTGAACCCCATATCACCTGGCTGATCGTGATATTAACTCTGTTTTGTTATTGAAACTTGTACTTTTTAACATGAATTTGTAATGACGAATTGAACCTCTCCTTAGATACAAAATGAGATCTCGTTGCCTTGTCATCGGAAATGAACTTTTCTTGAAGCGTAGATCGAAATCGCTGCATTAGAAACGGATCAAATCAGTCGCTCATACAATGTAGCTCCGATCTCTTAATATCAGTACGCATTATCGCGTTCGGCTTGTTTTAAAGGGAGGCTAGCACAAATGTAAACGATCAACAAAGGGAAGCAACCTTTGCTGCCAGTTTAATTCCAAACCATTTGAACTGTATGTCGCAGTAATAATTCTTTTAAAAGGATTTGCGCTTTATCAAAGTTTGACAAAATTTC